TATTAATTCTTTGTCTTCTCCTTGCAGGTCTTGATAAGATCATCCATCATGAAAATGAAGAGGTAGGGTGAGAGAATATCTCCTTGTCTAACACCACTACTGGTCTTAAATTCTACTAATGTTTGGGCTGCCGTTCTTATATAATTTCTGCAGCTTTTGTGGAAACTATATTGCATAGCTCAGGGGCGCTGGAATGTTTTTCCCCGCCAAGCAGTCCCAGAGCTTGCTCACTGGGAACCTTATCAAATGCCTTTTCTAGATCCAGAAAACATAAGTGCATCTCACTTTTATGTTCAAGGGCTTTTCCAGTCCTCCGTCTGAGTGTGAAGCTGCTATTATAGTTATTATTATTATTATTACTGCAAATATTGCGCTAATTCAACTACTACTACGACTTCCACTTTTGCTGCTACTAATACTATTACTGCTGCTACAACTACTACGATTACTTCTGTTGCTGCTGTTGTTGCTACTGCTTCTACTGCTCCTAGCACTTTGCAACATTATTTTCAGACCGTGTTGATATATTTTCTGTCTGTTCGTATCCCAGCATATTGTGTCCATTTATCAAACTTTCACCTGGTGCCTATATATGCATGCTCTTCATTGTACAACTCAGTGTGCTTGGGAGTGAGGGGTGGCGATGGACAAACATACAGACAAACGGGTAGACAGATATACAGACAGGCAGGCAGATAGACAGACAGACAGACTGATTGATAGATAGACAGACCGATAGATAAACAGACAGATAGATAGACACACAGACAGATAGGTAGTTAGACAGGTAGACATACATGTAGACAGTTAGACAGACAGTTAGACAGACAGATAGATAGATAGATAGATAGATAGATAGATAGATAGATAGATAGATAGATAGATAGATAGATAGATAGATAGATAGATAGATAGATAGATAGATAGATAGATAGATAGATAGATAGATAGATAGATAGATAGATAGATAGATAGATAGATAGATAGATAGATAGATAGATAGATAGATAGATAGATAGATAGATAGATAGATAGATAGATAGATAGATAGATAGATAGATAGATAGATAGATAGATAGATAGATAGATAGATAGATAGATAGATAGATAGATAGATAGATAGATTAGATAGATAGATAGATATATGTGAAACAAATGGAAAATAACTTGAGGAGAATGGTTTTAAAAGTAGCTAAATGAAGAGAGGAAAGGAACAGAAAAAATGACCTTCTGACTTCAAGACAGGGAAGGGAGCAACAGAATGTTGAGATCTTTTAGGAAGAGTTCCCAGCAGGTATCAATACTCACAAAAATGTCGAGCAACACTGCACATTTTTTATTTGTTCCCGAAAGACATTTAATAAAATCAAACTAGGGTCCAACATTTCAACATCCCAGCTTCATTTACAATTGCGTTATAATTTACAATTCCAAATCCCGCAAAAAAAAAAAAATAACAAGTTAATTTTGTTTTCATAAAGACTCCAGAAACGGGTCGGGAAGAATCATTTCATACACGAATATTAGATGACTGATGATTACACAGCCAGCAATTTAGAATTCATTACACATTTGACGTGATATAGTTGGAGGAGTCTCCCTGGCTAAGTTGTTAATTAAGATTTGGTTAGTTGCGTATCCTTTACAGGACGTTGCAGAACCAACCCCAGAAGCCCTGGCTGTTGTGTGGTTTCTCTAGGCAAATTTATGTCCAGTAGTTTGCCATTGCTTTCTGGGCAGTTGGCCCCCTGATACCACTGTCGAAACCAACGCAAGGCGCATGGCCCACAGCTGGGATCGAACCCGGCACCCTGGCATTACGAAGCGTTGTTTGTTATCACGTCAAAGACAGTTTCTAGAGCCGTTTTTCTGTGAACTTTTAAATTCACTGCCAATTTACTGGACCTGCTGCAGTTTCATCCTTAAAAGATAGTCTAACAGGTTTATAATTTGTATCAGTTTCATCCTTAAAAGATAGTCTAACAGGTTTATAATTTGTATCAGTTTCATCCTTAAAATATAGTCTAACAGGTTTATAATTTGTATCAGTTTTATCCTTAAAATAGTCTAACAGGTTTATAATTTGTATCAGTTTTATCCTTAAAAGATAGTCTAACAGGTTTATAATTTGTATCAGTTTTATCCTTATAAGATAGTCTAACAGGTTTATAATTTGTATCAGTTTCATCCTTAAAAGATAGTCTAACAGGTTTATAATTTGTATCAGTTTCATCCTTCAAAGATAGTCTAACAGGTTTATAATTCGTATCAGTTTCATCCTTAAAAGATAGACTAACAGGTTTATAATTTGTATCAGTTTCATCCTTAAAAGATAGTCTAACAGGTTTATAATTTGTATCAGTTTCATCCTTAAAAGATAGTCTAACAGGTTTATAATTCGTATCAGTTTCATCCTTAAAAGATAGACTAACAGGTTTATAATTTGTATCAGTTTCATCCTTAAAAGATAGTCTAACAGGTTTATAATTTGTATCAGTTTCATCCTTAAAAGATAGTCTAACAGGTTTATAATTTGTATCAGTTTCATCCTTAAAAGATAGTCTAACAGGTTTATAATTTGTATCAGTTTCATCCTTAAAAGATAGTCTAACAGGTTTATAATTTGTATCAGTTTCATCCTTGAAAGATAGTCTAACAGGTTTATAATTTGTATCAATTTCATCCTTAAAAGATAGACTAACAGGTTTATAATTTGTATCAGTTTCATCCTTAAAAGATAGATTAACAGGTTTATAATTTGTATCAGTTTCATCCTTAAAAGACAGTCTAACAGGTTTATAATTTGTATCAGTTTCATCCTTAAAAGATAGTCTAACAGGTTTATAATTTGTATCAGTTTCATCCTTAAAAGATAGTCTAACAGGTTTATAATTTGTATCAGTTTCATCCTTAAAAGATAGTCTAACAGGTTTATAATTTGTATCAGTTTCATCCTTAAAAGATAGTCTAACAGGTTTTTAATTTGTATCAGTTTCATCCTTAAAAGACAGTCTAACAGGTTTATAATTTGTATCAGTTTCATCCTTAAAAGACAGTCTAACAGGTTTATAATTTGTATCAGTTTCATCCTTAAAAGATAGTCTAACAGGTTTAGAATTTGTATCAGTTTCATCCTTAAAAGATAGTCTAACAGGTTTATAATTTGTATCAGTTTCATCCTTAAAAGATAGACTAACAGGCTTATAATTTGTATCAGTTTCATCCTTAAAAGATAGTCTAACAGGTTTATAATTTGTATCAGTTTCATCCTTAAAAGATAGTCTAACAGGTTTATAATTTGTATCAGTTTCATCCTTAAAAGATAGTCTAACAGGTTTATAATTTGTATCAGTTTCATCCTTAAAAGATAGTCTAACAGGTTTATAATTTGTATCAGTTTCATCCTTAAAAGATAGTCTAACAGGTTTATAATTTGTATCAGTTTCATCCTTAAAAGATAGTCTAACAGGTTTTTAATTTGTATCAGTTTCATCCTTAAAAGACAGTCTAACAGGTTTATAATTTGTATCAGTTTCATCCTTAAAAGACAGTCTAACAGGTTTATAATTTGTATCAGTTTCATCCTTAAAAGATAGTCTAACAGGTTTATAATTTGTATCAGTTTCATCCTTAAAAGACAGTCTAACAGGTTTATAATTAGTGTCAGTTTCATCCTTAAAAGACAGTCTAACAGGTTTATAATTTGTATCAGTTTCATCCTTAAAAGATAGACTAACAGGTTTATAATTTGTATCAGTTTCATCCTTAAAAGATAGACTAACAGGTTTATAATTTGTATCAGTTTCATCCTTAAAAGACAGTCTAACAGGTTTATAATTTGTATCAGTTTCATCCTTAAAAGATAGTCTAACAGATTTATAATTTGTATCAGTTTCATCCTTAAAAGATAGTCTAACAGGTTTTTAATTTGTATCAGTTTCATCCTTAAAAGATAGTCTAACAGGTTTATAATTTGTATCAGTTTCATCCTTAAAAGATAGACTAACAGGTTTATAATTTGTATCAGTTTCATCCTTAAAAGACAGTCTAACAGGTTTATAATTTGTATCAGTTTCATCCTTAAAAGATAGTCTAACAGATTTATAATTTGTATCAGTTTCATCCTTAAAAGATAGTCTAACAGATTTATAATTTGTATCAGTTTCATCCTTAAAAGATAGTCTAACAGGTTTATAATTTGTATCAGTTTCATCCTTAAAAGACAGTCTAACAGGTTTATAATTTGTATCAGTTTCATCCTTAAAAGATAGACTAACAGGTTTATAATTTGTATCAGTTTCATCCTTAAAAGATAGACTAACAGGTTTAGAATTTGTATCAGTTTCATCCTTAAAAGACAGTCTAACAGGTTTATAATTTGTATCAGTTTCATCCTTAAAAGATAGTCTAACAGGTTTATAATTTGTATCAGTTTCATCCTTAAAAGATAGTCTAACAGGTTTATAATTTGTATCAGTTTCATCCTTAAAAGATAGTCTAACAGGTTTATAATTTGTATCAGTTTCATCCTTAAAAGACAGTCTAACAGGTTTAGAATTTGTATCAGTTTCATCCTTAAAAGACAGTCTAACAGGTTTAGAATTTGTATCAGTTTCATCCTTAAAAGATAGTCTAACAGGTTTATAATTTGTATCAGTTTCATCCTTAAAAGATAGTCTAACAGGTTTATAATTTGTATCGTTTCATCCTTAAAAGATAGTCTAACAGGTTTATAATTTGTATCAGTTTCATCCTTAAAAGACAGTCTAACAGGTTTATAATTTGTATCAGTTTCATCCTTAAAAGACAGTCTAACAGGTTTATAATTTGTATCAGTTTCATCCTTAAAAGATAGTCTAACAGGTTTATAATTTGTATCAGTTTCATCCTTAAAAGATAGTCTAACAGGTTTATAATTTGTATCAGTTTCATCCTTAAAAGATAGTCTAACAGGTTTATAATTTGTATCAGTTTCATCCTTAAAAGACAGTCTAACAGGTTTATAATTTGTATATCTGATGCAGATGATTATTTATATAACTCTCAGTAGTTTTCAAGGCCAAGCAATAGGTGGATTGAAATCTACAACAATCACAGTGTGAAACCAACTATCCATCAGTGTGTTAATCTCCTCACAACATCACACCAAGTGGCTCTGGCTCAATGCAATAATCCTGTAGCCATTTAATCATCATTATCATGTTCCTCCACAAACGTCTGCTCCCTGTGATCTTTTCACTCTGCCAAACTCATCCAACATTTTCTCCCCCTGTCTCAATCCTCCTGATTGACAACGTTCTTCAAACCCTGATTTAAAAAAGGATGGAACTTTATGTTGTTTAGAAATGTTGCTGCACAAGAGCAGACCTCCCACAGCTAGTGTTGAACGTTTTGTGTTCTATTTGTCCCTGTATCTCTGAAGTGTTCATAAAGAGGTAGTTACATTAAACATTTTCTTTGGTATATGTTAGCTAGTTAAACAAATGAAAACAATGTTATGAGTAAAGTTAAACATACGTTTATCTATTGGCTTCTAAATTGTCCCACTCCCACCTCTATCTTATTGGTTGTCACAACCTTCACCAAACCCTCTCATAAGGTACCAAAATGATTTCTCCCTATATTATCTAGGATATTTTCTCCCTAAACTATCAATTTTTTTTATACTATCTGCTATTTTTTCTCCCTATACTATCTTGGATATTTTCTCACTATGATATCTGGGATATTTTCTGTGTATACCACATTGGATATTTTCTCCCTATACTATCTGGTATATTTTCTCAGAATACAGTTGGCTATAATTGCTTCCATTAATTTGTTGGACATTTTCTCCCTAAAATATCTGTGACATTTTCTCCTTATACTATCTCCCCATTTATTGTTTTAGATAATTTCTTCCAATACTATGTGGAACATATCTTATTTCAAAATGTTTGTTCCCACATAATTTAACAAAATTTGTTCATAGTTAACATTTAACTTGAAAATTAATTTCTTTATTTTTTTTCAGCAAATTATGGCTTCTCTCTTTTCCCACCCAAAGAATGATGACCATGCCTGTTGAACATTGCCGAAATATTTTATTAAACCTGCATATTGTCTAAAACACTTTGCATGCCAAATGACCACTATATTATTACTCTTCATAAAAATAAATAAATATGGCCATGAAATTTCACTGCTGTGTTAATCTCTACTAATTAATCTTCACATCGGCAGGAGAAGCCATACATCCGCACTTAGTGATTACTGACAACTGTGGAAGGAGAAACAAAGTTCATAGGTTAGAAGTTTTAAAATGTAATTACTTGGTGAAAGAATATAAATAATGTTTCTTTGCAAACTCAAAATTTATTCAAGAGTGTTTTTATCATTGTAAAAGAAAAACAAAAGTTCATAGGCTAGAAGTTGAAAAAAAAAAAAAAGTTAACTACCAGATGTACAAATACAAATGATTTTTTTGTTGTTGCAATTAAAAAAAAATTATAATAATATTCAAGAGTAATTTTATCAATATGAATTTAAATAATGATGAATGAAATAAGGTGAAATGTATATAAGGTAAAGATCCATTTTCACGCCTTAAGGTGCATCGGGCATATGGGAAAAGCACACATTTTTTAACAAATTAATCCGCACCAGGTGGGTAATGTGGTCAGCATTACTCCAGCCATCTGTACTTTTATAGGACTTAAATCACTGTACCCATTTTGACTGGGTCGACTTGCGACGCCCTATGCCATGATAAAAATCCACGCAGCCAGCAGTGGGTTTTGATCGTGGTACCTTGGAATTATGAGTTGGACTCGCAACGCCTAAGCCACGGTCGCTGCTACGGTGAAATATGCCAGGCAGTAAATTGTAATTTTTAATGTTTTCTGAGATTCGCTGGTGTTATTTAAAACAATAGGGAACTCAATGCTTTTTTATAGCCAAAGTCCTCATCAAATTGAAATCCTGCCCTGTGTACAGTTATATCCGCATTATTTAAATTCAAAGCATTTTTTGACAATGAAGGACTGTCATAGTTATAGTAGGTATATATATATATCGGTTGCAGGATCGTAGAGAGTTCTAGCGCAACATAGATTCAGGGGAAATGAGTCAAGAGAGAATTGGCTTACTGGTTTTGTGTTTTCGCGGTACATTAATATATGTATATATCTTCTATATTAATAAAAATGTAAATTTCCGTTGGATGTAATAGCCAATCTCCAAAAGTTCTTCACCGATTGCTTTCAAATTTTCACACAACATTGTATTTGACTACGCTATGTTTCTTTGCAAGAGTGTCACACAAACCACGAATAACATAGCTACAGCAATGATCACATCAGTTTTTGTTTTGTTGCCAGCTTGGAATGGTTTTTAGTTCCTCTGGTGGGGAACCTTTGACTGTTGACCTCAGATCTCTGCATGAAGCTACACCCGAAGGCCTTTACCTCTTTGAGTCCCAAGGAACGCATCATACGTTCATAGGTTTCTATCTAGAAGCCCAACGAACGCAAGATGCGCTGATATTATGTCTCTATTGACTACCCTGTGGGCCTCTGATGCTAAATCCTCTGGGACTCAAAGAGTTACCGATTACTTTGAACAATGTCACACAACGTTGCATTCGAATGCGCGCATGTTTTTATATAAGCATGTTGCACAAGGCGTGAACTACATAGCTCCAGCGAAGACCACATAATTTTGTTTTCCAAATATCCAATTTATTTTTATTCTTTGTCATGCTCACGATGCAAGTTATTTATGCTGATAGGCGACCTTTGACTGTTGGCCTCAGAAATCTGCATGGTCGTTATGGAAATCGTTAGGGTATCGAAAAGTTGTTGACAGAGTTTATGGAAATGTTGAGATATAGGCATTTCTTCTGTGAGGGAATGGGTAGTAGTTGGTGCATTTGGGAGGGGAAAAAAAAGGGGGAGGGGTGATGACAGAAACTGTTAACTGAGAGAGCTTAAAGTTAATTTAGTCTGGGTGGACACAGATGTCAAGGTTAATAAAAAAAAATTGTCAGGTGATGAATTTCAAATCCTTCGGAGAGTGAGAGAGTAGTTGGTGGATTGAAGGGGTGGGGGAGGGGGAAGGGGGGGGGGCGGTGATGACAGTCACTGTTAATTGAGAGAGCTTAATAAGAACATGATTTTAATTGAGCTTAAAACATAATTTTAAAGTTCACATTCTTTTAATTATTTATATTTTATTAACACTTCCTCAGCTATTCTGATTTTTTTTGGCGAGTCTGTCAGTCATTTAGACATACAGTAGTAAGCTTTACTTTTAGCTGTTAAAAAAAAAAAAACTTTAGCATGTGGTACAAAAGAAAAAACTTATATTTTTAAGTCCTAATAATACAATTTTAACCATCACTACCATAAAGACATTTATATGCTGCGTGTCCTAGAGTTGGCAAATAAGACTATCTGTATGTCTGCGCAGACAACGATTGTGATATTAACCATATTGGACTTGTGCCTGTCCTATTTTTTTTCTTTTCCATTTTGCCAGACTGAGCCACAGCAAAGCGTGGCGGGTACTGCTAGTTATATATATATATACTATATATATATATATTTTGTTTGTCATTTTCTACATCGTGCAATTATTTAATCAGGACAATTATGTTATTTTTATTATTGTTTGAATTATATTGCATTGTTTTCACATTTAAGGGTTGTGATTAAGATATAAACTGTACTATGAATAATAGATAAATCTTGTTAACATTATCCTTTATATAGTAGATTTAAAAAGAGTATGTTGAGTATAAGAATGATGATGATTATGATGATGTCAATTATTTTAAATATCATAATCATATTGAAACAATACATTTACAAAAAACTGCGATACATGAACCTTAAGTCTATACTTGCAAAGAAGATGTAAGCATTTGAAATTAGATCATTTAAAAAAATTCTTGACATATCAAGCAGTGACCATTTCACAAATGACAAGGTTTGCCATAAAACTAACCAGCACACTGGTAACTATGATCACGTTTAACTACAGTGAAAAGGCGGAAAATGCAATGGTACTGATATGTAATAAGATCTAACGGCCTCCTAAAAACAACAATACAAGGCTCAGTAGAGGGGAAGAGGCAGACCAAGAAAGAACTGGATACAGAACTTGATTGACTTGACAGGCGTTAGGCATGCATCCATAGTCTATTGTATCTGACCGTCAAAGGTGGAGAGAGCTAATCAGGAAGTCAACAGCAACTAGTGACTGAACAACATGCAGTATTAAGGGGTTATGATCATGATGACTGAAACAATGACATCAACATTACAACGATGGTGACTGCAATATTTTCAACATACTTCTTTGTCTACTGCAACACCTTTAGGACAAACCAGAGTAACAATCTGTTTGGCAAACTCTGTAGCAATGCAGCACTGATCCTTGACATTCTCACAACCACCATCACATTTGCCTAGATTAACCTCCCCTGACGACTGACAGCCATTGTCATCCTGGTATACCTGAAAGTTCCTCACGACATCACAGTCCACTGGTCGCGCTGTGAAATATAAATTATTCACTCAAATATAATTTGCATACCACCAAAAACAAAAAGTGTAAGTTGCCCCTGTCAAGAGGTATTGGGTATGTTATGAGAAGGAAAACTAGAAAACCCAGTTACTGGGGAGATAACTCAAAGAATGCATTTTTGAGACGTCCTCAGTCGCAGTACACATTTTCTTGTCAGGATAATTTTAATAATGATAATGTGCTGAATGGTAAATAATTTGTAATAGGCTGGTGGAGTAGGTTGTTAGCCTGTTAATAATTTTTGCTTGGCTACTCAAACTGGCAGATTTGAAGATTGGAACTCTCCAGAAGTGGCCAGTGGGTCAAAAAGTTTATATAAGGCCTGGTGGTAGATACAGTTGTCATTTTTGGTATGAGGCAAGTAGACTAGAAACATGTAGTACCACTATCGGTTGCAGGATAGTACAGGGTTTTAGCGCAACATAGGTTCAGGGGGAACTGAGTCGAGATAGATGAACTGGCTCACTGGTTTCATGTTTTTGGTGGTAGGTTCAGTAGATAGATTGTCTTAGATCTTGATTTCCAAGTGCATCCTTGCCGGAGATTTTGACTGTATGTCGCTTTGAAGCGAAGGCGAACTCTCATCTTTGTTAGCTGGAGTGTTTAGCACAGGGTCTGTTTGAACACCTTGTTGTTTGTTAATGTATTGTTATCTGTGAAGCACGCTAGTTTTGTATTCAGAAAAATAAACAGACGTTGAATGTCATGATTATATTCCATTTGTTTGATTTAGAATAGGACTTGTAGTTCGTGCACATAGTCTGGCTTGGTGCTACCTATGTAAATACGTGGTTATATGCTGTAATTTTTGTTCAAGTCACTATTCACATATTCATTACCTGGGTCATGAAGATACGTCATGGTCCCTGCACCAGAAGAACCATTGTCTTTTCTTTACTTTTTCTATTTTTGCAGTCCAGCGGGGAACTATTCACTGTCCTAACCTCATTTCTTTTCTCGTGTCCTCCTGGTTTTCCTATTTCGCCAGCTCAAGAACAATAATATATTTGAAATAATGTGTATAAAAACAAAAACTTAAATAACTTCTTTACATGGCTGAGGGGGGCTGGAAAGGAAGGGGATCCATGGACCCAAGTCTTGTTCAAGTGAATAATAATAATAAGGCTCTAAAGGGTAAATAAGCGTAATAATATATTTGAAATATTAATGTAAAGACAAAAACTAAAAGTGAGAATTTCTATACATGGTTTGGGGTGGGAGGTTGACAGGTGGATGGGTCATTCGTTCGTTCGAAAAGAAACAAAAAAGAAAAGCTTGGTCCTTTTTTTAACCGCCTGATGGTCTGTTTTTTCAAGGACAAGCTTATTTGTGAGCTAAAATTTCTTTCTGTTGTAGCGATGATTTTCGCCTGTATTTCCTGTTGATTGTTACCTCATGTCAGCAGCGTGGGCTTGGCTGGCGGCTTGCAGTTTTAGGGAGAGGACATGGCAGTCCTGAGAAGGACAGCCATATGTGCCTGGGTGGCCTGGAACGGGATGGGAGGGGTCTGGCTTCTGCAGTCAGGTTCTGATGGTGCCCGGATGGTCTTGCGCGGGTGGGTTTTCCGGTCCGGTGAGCTGGGTTTGGTCGGTGTCATGGCGGCTGTGGTCAGTTCTGGTTGGGTATTGGCTTCATGGTTTCGCTTAATTCCCTTCGATCAGCGTTAAGTATACTAAGGGCTATGCTTGCCTTATACATCATCCTTTTGTTTTTGTCTCGTTTGGATCAGAGTGTTGTGGCTGGGAGGGATCGCTCCCTTGCGAGTTCTTCCTGGCAGAACTGTATTCTGTATTTGTCATTACTCATCTCGAGTCGGTGAGGGTGCATCTGCTGGTTAAAATCTGCGACCATTTCTTGTAGGCTGACTTCTCTGTCTGCTATCTCCTTCCATGCTGCCGCGTTTGCGGTATCGCTGTTCTGGTCCGTGGATTGTACTAATTCTGCGGGCTGTTCATCTACGCTTTCCTCGTCGGATTCTGCTTCCTGTTCCTCTTCTTCAACTCCTTGAGAATAGTCCGGTTCGGAGTCTGGTTCAGTTTCTTGTTCTTTTTCTATTGTCGGGTCTTGCTTGGCGTCAGTGAGTTTTTTTTTAAATCTCGTTCACTGCTTCTTTCATGACATCTTGCATGCTTGACTCCTGTTCCGCCTTCTCTCTCTGTCGGGTTTTCTCCATATTGACTGCGGTTTCTGTCAATTCTTTCTTTAGACAATCGTTTTACAAATGGCTGGCTCTTCAACAAATGATGTGCTCACGGGCCGCTAATGACCCAAACGCAGACGAAAACCGATAGCGTAGTCGAGCCAAACTCAGCCGAATATCAAGCGAGTCTGACCAGTATCTAGCTATCGATAATCAGGCTACGAATGGGTAGTTAGCAAGCGAACGAGAGACACACGTGGCTGTTCAGGCGGTTTGAGCAAGCGAGCGAGAGCTGTGTGCGACTGGACTGTCTGCGCTGCGAGGCGAGGATGGGTCAGCTAAAGGGCCCTCTCTAATTTAGGGTAGATCAGGCTCAAGGCGCCTAAGTAGCCAGGTTCTCAGGGAACAAAAGGAGTTACATTAAAAGCCGGTTCATTTATATCATTAAAACACCTACGTGAGTTAAGAGAAGTAAATCATGGAAGCAAGTCATAACAGGAGTAACCAATAAATGCAAGGTGAAATGGTCGGCTGGTTGGCACTTTCTGTATAATAGTGTTACATTGTGCTATGAGGAGGCATGGGACTCACAGCAGATGGCGATGGCGAGTGTGACTAGCAGAACCCTCCTGCATTAAAACACATCTTCCACAATTAGAGCAATAATTTCAGGACTATTGTTGCCATCACGTTTGTTTAATGTGTTTCTTCTTAGACACTCAACTCTGATCCTTTCTGCAATTAATTCTTTCTTCATTCTCATTTTCTTCCTGATTTCCCCCTGCATGCAACACTGTTCAAGGCATTTTGTTCACACGAAGCTACCTCAATATGTGTATAATTCATGTCCCGCTTGCATACATCTTTATATCGCTTTGACACATTCTACTCATCTGAAATTGACCTCACATCTCACACTGACCTCTGCCATCCCACATTCTTCAGGTGTGACTCAATCACCTGGGCCTTCGTAGACTGAACATTGAGAAAACTGTTTGACACTAGCTCTTTCCAATAACTCAGTGTTTACAATCTTGTCTTGCTACTAAATATTCTTCTGAGGCATCGGTATGTGAAGGCTATCTATCTTTTTCTCCTGGAGCTGGCTGGTACTGACAAAGCTGAGAATGCATTCCCCCTGTACTAGTAGTCTCCCTCCTCTGGATCTTCTTACACAAATTTCAGTTGCTTTAAGCAAGGGCCTGGGTATGCACATCTAATTATTATTTTGCTCTCAGCGTAAAAGGCTCTGTTTTTTTGTCTGTGTTTTGTGAGTGTTCTGTGTCCCTGTATAAGTTGCTGTGTCTGTGTGTATGTATTGTGTCTGTGATTGTGTGTGCAGTCAGTGTGTGTTTGTGCTTGTGTCTGTACGTCTACCTATATGTGTGTCTGCATTGTATGTAACTTGTTAATGTATATTTGATGGTATGCATTTGCCATCCATGCTTTTGTATTTTTACGTTACATTCATAGTATAAAAACAGAAGTTATGAAGATCAGCAGAACACACAGGCCACTGAATATAAATGTTGGAAGTGCCAAAATCAAGCAAACCAAAGAGTTCAAATACTTGGGCAGTATATTTACAGAGGATGGAAGAATGGACAGAGAGATAGAAATAAGAATACAGAAAGCAAATGCTGTCACATACCAACTATCACCTCTGCTTAAACATCCAGATATACCCATGAAGACCAAAAGACAATTGATAAACACCATCTTCATTCCAACACTCTGCTACCAGTGCCAAACATGGACAATCAACAAGACCCATGAGAGAAAAATAGAAGCCTGTGAAATGAAATGTCTAAGAAAAGCAGCGAATAAGACCAGACTAGACAGGATAAAGAATATAGACATCAGAAACACTGTCAAAACTACGCCATGTTTAGACTACATAGAACATCAAAGAATGAAATGGTTTGGACATCTAACCAGGATGAAAAATGATCAAATAACATCACAAATTTTCAACCAAGGAAGCTCAGGATATAAGGCAAGAGGAAGACCAAGGAAACGGTGGATTGACAGGGTCTCCGAAACCTGCCAAAAGCATGGCCTCAGAACATCAGATGCTGCCCGCGTTGCTTATGACAGGAACTTGCATCTCCCCACAACGCTTAGCGGCATACGTGGAAGGAAAAAGTAAAAAGTAAAGTAAAGTATTCATAGTATACATTTTAATATATGAAACAAAAATATGCCTGATATATCAAATACAATTGCCATATGAAAGATAAGTGCATGAAAAGGCAGAATATAAGACAGGCTTTCATGACCAATGTGTAATCAATTGGAAATAAAGTTTGTTCGTTCGTTGCTTCATTCTCTTGCCAGTAGTGTTCAGATGAGAAGGCCACATGCCTCTTTAAAGGCTGTGGTATGTATGCATGTCCTTCACCGATACATACTGCTTGGTTTCTACCAGAACGCCAATTGGCCAGATCCATGATCGTTTGAATGCGGCGTCTGTGGCTAAGGCGCTGCGAGTCCGACTCGTAAGCCAGCGTACCGCGATCGAAACCCACTGCAGACTGCGTGGATTTTTATCGTGGTACCGGACGTCGCAGGTCGACCCAGCCTAAAATGGGTACCAGGATGAGCTGTCCTGGGAAAGTAAAGACAGCCGGCGTAATGCTGACCACATTACCTACAGAGTGCTGATGGTCTGTAAAAATATGGGACGCTCTGCCCATATGCCCGATGCGCCGAAAGACGTGAAAAGGGATCTTTACTTTACTTATGATCGTTTGAATGCTCGTAGAGAGCATGTTTGCAGCACGCATTCAGTGGGCAAAAATTCTGAGTGCTCAGTCTTGAATTTCTTGTACAGACTGCTATAGATAACTAGTAAAAATAAAAGTAAAGGACCCTTTTTTCACGCCTTTAGGCATATAGGGCATATAGGGCTAGACCAATATTTTATAGACCAATCGGCACAAGGTGGGTGATGTGGTCAGCATCACCCCGGCCGCCTATACTTTCCGGGACTGCACCCGGTACCCACTCAAGACTGGGTCCACCTGGGAGCCAAAGTCGTTTTTAAAAAAAGTCCGGCTCCACTAGAGAACGAACCCACGACCTTCTGATCCGCAGCGAGCGATAGATAACTAAATGATGACAAAGATTTGGCGATTTGGTCAAGCTGTTTGCCTCGCGCTCTGAAGGTTGTGGACTCATTTCACATTTGCATCGTTCGGTTCACCTGTGCAACTTTTACAGAAACACCCAGTTATCTTCACCACGGCTACGGTTTTCGTGCTTTGTACGCCGCTCTCTCGGTAGACGATTAGCCGTTCTGCGGAGACAGACCGAGCCATATGGGGATAAAACCCGGTGCAATGAAGTCAGTTCTTCCAATCTGTAACTTTTTAAAAAAAAGATAACATACAAATGTTTATAATTTCAGGGAAACTTACTTTCACAGGCCCTCCTCTCTAGGACCTTGTAGAGCGGCTGAGATTCCTCACAAGCCATTTTTTGCAAAAGACATTCGCTGGAGAAGGTTAGAACGGTGTCCCCAAACTGGCCACAAACAAACTCTTGCTTGCTGTTCTCACATGCTGGGCACTGACAGGAGGCCGTGTTGTCTGTGGTTACAACACAGACCTGACCCGGTCCTCGACATAGCCTGGGGTAGCATGGTCCTGGGGACATAGAGGGATGTAGAAATGTAAAGTCATTAAGTCCTGGGAACATAGAGGGATGTAATGTGAGGTCATCTAGTCCTGGGGACATAGAGGGATGTAGAAATGTGAGGTCATTAAGTCCTGGGGACATAGAGGGATGAAATGTGAGGTCATCTAGTCCTGGGGACATAGAGGGATGTAGAAATGTGAGGTCATTAAGTCCTGGGGACATGGAGGGATGTAGAAATGTGAGGTCATTAAGTCCTGGGTAGAGTGTGTGAAATATTTATACACACATACAGAGATGAATCTGTCCTAAGGACATAGAGTGTTTAAATGTGTAGTTACTTGGTCAAAAGGGGGGGGGGGGTTGTGTGAGAGAGAGAGAGAGAGAGAGAGAGAGAGAGAGAGAGAGAGAGAGAAAGAGAGAGAGAAAGAGAAGAGGAAGAAGGAGAGAGAAAGCTGTCCTGGGACACAGAAATTTGAAAATGGGAAGTCATAAGGTTCTAAACAGAGATATAGACACTTTCTCTCTTTCTCTCTCACACACACACAGACAAGGAGATAATGTTGTTGAGAAGAGACAGAGAAAGCCTGAGATGTATAAATGTGAAGTAACATGGTCCTGGAGATAGATAGATAGACAGACAGACAGACAGACAGACAGACAGAACAAACTTTATTTTCAAAGGGTTACAAATTGAGCTCACAGGCCTGCCTGACATTTGGCTCTTCTAAGCACTCTTTTTTCAGTGCACCATTGCCTGTTATCCATAATACATGTTGTTTTTAAAGAAAAATATAAATTATATAAAAATGCATACACACATCAAGTATACACAATCATGCACCCTCAAACACATGTACACATACTCTTACATGCTCATACATACACACTCATATACAGACATACATAATACATTCATACATGCACGCACACACACACATACCTACATACACCTACATGCATTCATACATACACCCAGTCACATACATACATGCATAAATACATACACACACATTTACATCATGCATACAAACACAGATATATGCACACACTCATTACATTCATATATACACATGCATGCATACAGACACCCACATACATACATAAACACACACACAAACACACACATATATTTCCATACATACACACACACACTCACAATCATACATAGATAAAATCACACATACATACAGCGATAAGTATGATTTTAGAGATTATGTCACCAAATATGATGATAGTGTTGTTATAAAAGCATCAACAATATTAAAACATTAACACATTTCTCCGCACCTTTCGTACAAGTACCGTAGCAAGTTTCAGACTGTGTTTCCTGTACATAGGATTGGGTGATGTTGCTATAGCCAGTTCTGGAGCGGGTTTTATTTCCCGGCTTGCACCTCTCACTACACGCTGACCAGGCGCCCCACGATGCTGTTAACACAAAATACAATATGAGAATAACTGGAATTATGTAACAAAGCAGATTAAATAAATCTTTAAACAATGCAAGATACTGTCAACGTCAATGATTCATTCTTCTTTTTCCTTTTTTTTTCTTCACTGTCAGAGGTTTTCAGATAAGAAGGCCACAGGCCTGTATAAAGTTTGTGGTGCGACATGTTTTCCATTATTACACAGCTTGGATTACAATAGAATGTCGACTGGTGACACCTGGAATCTCTCTACTGAATGCAGAGCATTTCTCTAGCATATGGGCAGTATTGTGTGGTGCCTGTCTACATGGGTAAGGTCTTGAATCCTCAACTTTGAATTGTTTGTAAGTATGGCTGCAGTTTTTTGTGTCCAGTACACAGTCTAAAAATAATGATCAGTTTCTTTTGTGTTAGGAGACTGCCTGGGTCTTCATGATTGTGCCATGGGTGGGAAGTGTTCCAACAGTTTCTAACAGTTGTCTTGATCTGAGTTTGATCTTCCTCAAAAGTACATCCTGCATCCGGCTGTTATCTATGACATCCAAAAATCGACATCAAAGTATACAAGGCATACGCACAGGTGCTCCTTCTCCCACAACATTAGCCTTGAAGTGTAGATGCTGACGGTTCCAGAAGCATACTGATTGTTCACAAGTCATACCCTTCCTCTCATTTGTCTTTTCATGCTGCATCCACACTTAATTTGAAATTCACGCAACCTAAACATGGTGTTCCATCTAACATCGTATCTCCAGTTCAGCGACTCTTAATAAATGTTTTTCACAATGTCTGTCTTGTTAAGTACGAGTGTTCCTACCGCTGTCACCTTTGTAGCGAAAAACTCCAGTCAGTACACAAGACAGAGCAAATAAAACCCTTCGAACAAATTTGTAAATAAACCAATACAAAAGACCGTAAACACAATACCAGAACAGAACAAATGGAACTATCAGCCACAGGACATTAGAACATATCTGTTGGTAAACAATGCATGATGATGTCAATGCAAAAACATAAAAATGGCAAAGATTGGCAAAAACATATGGAACAGATCTGTTAGTAAACAACGCAAGATAATATCAGTGCAATACCAGAACAGAACAAATGGAACTATTATCCAAGACATATATAAAAGATGTGTTAGTAAACAACGCAAGATAATGTCAGTGCAATACCAGAACAGAACAAATGGAACTATTATCCAAGACATATATAAAAGATGAGTTAGTAAACAACGCAAGATAATGTCAGTGCAATACCAGAACAGAACAAATGGAACTATTTTCCAAGATGTATAAATACAAGATTTGTTAGTAAACAATGCATGTTAATGTCAATGCAAAAATGTAACAAATGCAATGGTTGGCCAAAACATGGAACACATTTTTAAGGAAATAGTGCATGATGAAGCCAATAATATACCAGAAGAGAGTGGAGCTTTTAGGTAACGGATACAAAACAGATTCACAAAGTAGGAATGCATGTTTAATCCATCATTCATGTGACATTTCCACAAAGAATGTAGGCTGCAATCAATCTCCAACAATCGATGTCCTCTTTCCATAAGATTTCGTGTTTGAACATTTTTAAAAATCACATACAAAGCATATTCATTGACCATCATATGCTACCAGTGCCAGGCATAGTCACTCACAACACACCAGAAAATAAAACTACTAACCATGGAAATTAAATGTCTGACAAATGCTGCAAGAGTGACAAGAGAAGAGAAAACCAGGAATGAAGCTACTAAAAAAAAAAAAAAAGGCTTATATTAAACTACACATCAATTAAACAATCAGCTTTTTCTTTACAGAACTCTGCTCTCTTCGCAGCACTCTCGAAAGTCTCTATTTCTCTAGCTAGTTCCCCAGCCCTCTCTGCTTTTATAAACAATGCATCTTCAATGTCCTGTATCCACCGACGTGGAGGTTGGCCTCTGCCTCGTTTTACAGAAACTGCACCCTTCATTACTGCTCTCTCCAGACCACTATGGTTCTTGCCATGTCTAAAATATCTCAGCTTTTGGGACAGGATGCTAATTATAAGATAATTGTCTTTCATGTTCAGATCATGTAGAATGTCAACGTTCTTCTTCTTCTTCTTGGTATTTGGTATTCTAAGAATGTTTCTAGAGCATTTCAGTTCACATACATAAGTTGCCATGGTAAAGATGTATAATCTCAGTTTCATTTAATCTTTAACTTGCTTGCAGCTGTTTTGCTATAGGTTCTTTATGCTATTCTACAAATAAAGAAATAACTACAATTAAAGACAGCAAATGAAAAGTTTTGCCCGATTGGAGAGATTGCCATGTGATACCATACCATTATCATCAGGATGTAGCAGGCTTTTTGCAGAACATCGCTCTCATCTCGGTCTGCCTGAATGAAACCCAGTCTCTCTTCATACACTTTCCCACCCAAAGTGTCACTTATATCCTATGCCCATGTTCGTGCTGGTCGGCCCCTGCCTGTCATTCTTGGGACTGTGTCTTCTGATATTTTTCTTTCCAATCCACCGAGACACATGACATGACCAAAATATTTCAGTTTCCGAGAAACGATGTTGTTTATTAGCCAATCTTCTTGATGTTCAGATTTGCAAGGATTTTGGTATTTCTTTTCGTCTTTATCCATTGTATTCTTAGGATCTTTTGATAGTATTTTAACCCTTAAAGCCCTACATTCTCCCACAATGACTCACATACGTATATTGCTATAAAGAAGATGCTGGCTCTCAAATTGCTGACTTTGATTTGTTGCTGGTGCTTAACCAGGGACTTTTAATGTTATTTAAGACACCATATCGTAGAACGCATATACCAACAGAGAACAAGGATGTCGTTCACGAGGTAAACCAGGAACAAAATGGAAAGACAACATCATAGAAACTCTCAAACATTTCACTGTGGCTATGAAAGAGCAAGAACAGTATCCCTATATCTCCCTCGACACCCAAAGTAGCAAAAGAGGAAGTAAAGACGAAGCAGAAGATCAGAAGAAAAAAACCAAAAACAATGCTTACTCTCCTGTGTTTTTGGCGGAGGCAGGCACGGTTTGCCTACAGATTCAACCTTGACCGTGGTCTCTATATCAGCCTTACAGGTGGCCGCCTCCATGTGACATCTTGTGCTGTAAGTGACTCTGTTTGAGGCACAAACCATCTCTAGGTAAAGAAAGAAAACGAAAATATGGCCGAATGATTAACCCAGCCCAGCTTGTTCAATGAAAACATGGCATTAGTCTATTTTAAATGTTTCAGTCATAAGAAAAGGTTAATTTGACAGTATTCCAGTAATAGGTTTTTTGTTTTATTTTATTATTTATGTTTGATTATTACATTAAAAATATGTATTTGAGCCGGCACTTTATATTCTTATAATTTTTACCTGTCACTTGAGGTATAGGGAACTTAATTTTACTGGAATAAAACAGTGTGTGAATATAAAAAAAAAATTCTTCTCTGCATTAAGACAAAAGGGAATCGCCGTGGCTAGATGCTGGATGGTCTAGCGATTGAGGCGCTGATTATGAATGACATGGACTAGGTACATTATGTGCGGACTGAACTTACCGGACCGTCTTTTGTATGTGGAGTTCCTGCAGGCCGGACATTTACACTGAGGTATACCGGCAACTTCCGTGCAGACTGCATACTGTTTGCTGCATGTCACCTCAAGGCACTTATCTAAGTGAAGACAACAAGTAAACTGATTTAAGTCTTTGCTAGCATTACATGGTGAAGGCAATTGTAGAGAGAAGTTGGAAGGATAATGGGAAATTGGGAGACAGATAGATAGACAGACAGACATATAGATAGATAGATAGATAGATGGATGGATGGATGGATGGATGGATGGATGGATGGATGGATGGATGGATGGATGGATGGATGGATGGATGGATGGATGGATGGATGGATGGATGGATGGATGGATGGATGGATGGATGGATGGATGGATGGATGGATGGATAGATAGATAGATAGATAGATAGATAGATAGATAGATAGATAGATAGATAGATAGATAGATAGATAGATAGATAGATAGATAGATAGATAGATAGATAGATAGATAGATAGATAGATAGATAGATAGATAGATAGATAGATAGATAGATAGATAGATAGATAGATAGATAGATAGATAGATAGATAGATAGATAGATAGATAGATAGATAGATAGAATATAAGCAGTAAGAAGAGACATATGTCTCTGCACTGTCTCTTTAAAATCCCTGTATGGGATCAGGAGCCCCATTGTGGAGGAGAAAATAGACATAATGGCCCCTAACAAGCATGACGTAAGAGTTGCCTAACTAGGACCATTTTCTTCAAAGTCAGAGTGCATGTGCCTAGAAGGCGAGAAACCAGCAGTTTGCATACAGATAAAGAATGCCCAATGAACACTCAGGTTCTGGAACAAGACCAAAGTCCAGAATTATATGAACAACCTGAACTTTTCGCTGGGGTTTACAGCCAGTGTACGCGATGAAGAAGTCTAGTTATAGTAGCTGTGTGTGTGTGTGTGTGTGTGTGTGTGGGAGTATAAGCAATAAGAAGAGACAAGAGACATATCTATGTGTGTGTGTGTGTGTGTGTGTGTGAGTATAAGCAATACGAAGAGACAAATCTACATGGGTGTGTTTGTGTGTGTGTGTGTATGAGAGTATAAGCAATAAGAAGAGACAAGAGACATATCTACATGTGTGTGTGTGTGTGTGTGTGTGAATATAAGCAATAAGAAGAGACAAGAGACATATCTAAATGTGTGTGTGTGTGTGTATGAGAGTATAACCAATAAGAAGAGACAAGTAACATATCTACATGTGTGTGTGTATGAGAGTATAAGCAATAAGAAGAGACAAGTAACATATCTACATGTGTGTGTGTGTGTGTGTGTGTGTGTGTGTGTGAGTATAAGCAATAATAAGAGACAAGAGACATATCTACATTTATGTGTGTATGTGTGTGTGTGAGTATAAGCAATAAGAGGAGACAAGAGACATATCTACATGTGTGTGTGAGAGAGTATGAGCAATAAGAAGAGACAAGAGACATATCTACATATGTGTGTGTGTGTGTGTGAGAGAGTATAAGCAATAAGAAGAGACAAGAGACATATCTGCATGTGTGTGTGTGTGTGTGAGTATAAGCAATAAGAAGAGACAAGAGACTTATCTACATGTGTTTGTGTGTGAGAGTATAAGCAATAAGAAGAGACAAGAGACATATCTACATGTGTGTGTGCGTGTGTGAAAGTATAAGCAATAAAAAGAGACAAGAGACATATCTACATGTGTGTGTGTGTGTTTCTGTGAGAGTATAAGCAGTGTAAAGAGACAAGAGACATATCTACATGCGCATGTGTGTGTGTGTGAGAGAGTATAAGCAGTAAGAAGAGACAAGAGACATATCTACATGCATGTGTGTGTGTGAGAGAGAGAGAGAGTATAAGCAATAAGAGGAGACAAGAGACATATCTACATGTGTGTGTGTGTGTGTGAGAGAGTATAAGCAATAAGAAGAGACAAGAGACATATCTACATGCATGTGTGTGTGTGTGTGTGAGAGAGAGAGAGTATAAGCAATAAGAGGAGACAAGAGACATATCTACATGTGTGTGTGTGTGTGTGTGTGTGAGAGAGAGAGTATAAGCAATAAGAAGAGACAAGAGACATATCTACATGTGTGTGTGTGTGTGAGAGTATAAGCAGTAAGAGGAGACAAAAGACATATCTACATGTGTGTGTGTGTGTGTGTGAGTATAAGCAATAAGAAGAGACAAGAGACATATCTACATGTGTGTGTGTGTGAGAGTATAAGCAATAAGAAGAGACAAGAGACATATCTACATGTGTGTGTGTGTGATTATAAGCAATAAGAAGAGACAAGAGACATATCTACATGTGTGTGTGTGTGTGTGTGTGAGAATAAGCAATAAGAAAAGACAAGAGACATATCTACATGTGTGTGTGTGTGTGTGTGTGTGTGTGTGTGTGAGTATAAGCAATAAGAAGAGACAAGATACATATCTACATGTGTGTGTGTGTGTGATTATAAGCAATAAGAAGAGACAAGAGACATATCTACATATGTGTGTGTGTGTGTGTGTGTCAATGTGAGAGACATAAGCAATGTGTGTGGTGTGTGTGTGAAGTATAAGCAATAAAGAGACAAGAGACATATCTACATGTGTGTGTGTGTGTGTGTGAGTATACGCAATAAGTGTGTGTGTGTGTGTGTTATACGCAATAAGAAGAGACAAGAGACATATCTACATGTGTGTGTGTGTGTGTGTGATTATAAGCAATAAGAAGAGACAAGAGACATATCTACATGTGTGTGTGTGTGTGTGTGTGTGAGAGTATAAGCAATAAGAAGAGACAAGAGACATATCTACATGCATGTGTGTGTGTGTGTGAGAGAGAGAGTATAAGCAATAAGAGGAGACAAGAGACATATCTACATGTGTGTGTGTGTGTGTGAGAGTATAAGCAGTAAGAGGAGACAAAAGACATATCTACATGTGTGTGTGTGTGAGAGTATAAGCAATAAGAAGAGACAAGAGACATATCTACATGTGTGTGTGTGTGATTATAAGCAATAAGAAGAGACAAGAGACATATCTACATGTGTGTGTGTGTGTGTGTGTGTGAGAATAAGCAATAAGAAAAGACAAGAGACATATCTACATGTGTGTGTGCGTGTGTGAAAGTATAAGCAATAAAAAGAGACAAGAGACATATCTACATGTGTGTGTGTGTGTTTCTGTGAGAGTATAAGCAGTGTGTGTGTGTGAGAGAGAATAAGCAATAAGACAAGACATCTACATGTACATGTGTGTGTGTGTGTGTGTGAGAGTATAAGCGCAATAGGACAATATCTACATGCATGTGTGTGTGTGAGAGAGAATAAGAAGAGACAAGAGACATATCTACATGTGTGTGTGTGTGTGTGATTATAAGCAATAAGAAGAGACAAGAGACATATCTACATGTGTGTGTGTGTGTGTGTGTGTGTGAGAGTATAAGCAATAAGAAGAGACAAGAGACATATCTACATGCATGTGTGTGTGTGTGAGAGAGAGAGTATAAGCAATAAGAGGAGACAAGAGACATATCTACATGTGTGTGTGTGTGTGTGTGTGTGTGAGAGTATAAGCAATAAGAAGAGACAAGAGACATATCTACATGTGTGTGTGTGTGTGAGAGTATAAGCAGTAAGAGGAGACAAAAGACATATCTACGTGTGTGTGTGTGTGAGTATAAGCAATAAGAAGAGACAAGAGACATATCTACATGTGTGTGTGTGTGAGAGTATAAGCAATAAGAAGAGACAAGAGACATATCTACATGTGTGTGTGTATGTGATTATAAGCAGTAAGAAGAGACAAGAGACATATCTACATGTGTGTGTGTGAGAAGTATAAGTGTGAGACATATCTACACATGTGTGTGTGAATAAGCAATAATAAGAAGAGACAAGAGACATATCTACATGTGTGTGTGTGTGTGTGTATAAGCAATAAAAAGAGTGAGACATATCTACATGTGTGTGTGTGTGAGAGAGAGTATAAGCAATAAGAAAAGACAAGAGACATATCTACATGTGTGTTGTGTGTGTGTGTGAGAGAGAGAGTATAAGCAATAAGAAGAGACAAGAGACATATCTACATATGTGTGTGTGTGTGTGTGTGTGTGTGTGAGAACATGAGAGATAAGCATAAGCAATAAGAAAAGACAAGAGACATATCTACATGTGTGTGTGTGTGTGTGTGAGAGAGTATAGCAATAAGAAGAGACAAGAGACATATCTACATGTGTGTGTGTGTGTGTGTGATTATAAGCAATAAGAAGAGACAAGAGACATATCTACATGTGTGTGTGTGTGTGTGTGTGTGAGAGAGAGAGAATAAGCAATAAGAAAAGACAAGAGACATATCTACATGTGTGTGTGTGTGTGTGTGAGCATAAGCAATAAGAAGAGACAAGAGACATATCTATATGTGTGTGTGTGTGTGTGATTATAAGCAATAAGAAGAGACAAGAGACATATCTACATGTGTGTGTGTGTGTGTGTGTGTGTGAGAGAGAATAAGCAATAAGAAAAGACAAGAGACATATCTACATGTGTGTGTGTGTGTGTGATTATAAGCAATAAGAAGAGACAAGAGACATATCTACATGTGTGTGTGTGTGTGTGTGTGAGAGAATAAGCAATAAGAAAAGACAAGAGACATATCTACATGTGTGTGTGTGTGTGTGAGCATAAGCAATAAGAAGAGACAAGAGACATATCTACATTGTTTCTTTAAAGTATGTTACAGCAAAAGAAGCTAGAGTATTTCGTTCAGGAGGTTCAAAAAATGGTTGTATTTTGCATTAGCCATTGATAATAAAATAGTTGAGAATATTTTGTCACTTTGAGAAGCATATACTGGGTACCGATAAAAAAATTATGAATGCATCTGGCCAGACTATGAAACGCTAATTTTTTTAAAGTTATTAATGTAAGCAGTGCAGATCATATGTGAGTGTCATCTTTTTTCAAGGATGGCACCCTACAAATCTTAAAAAAAAAAAAAAAAAAAACTCTAGATTATTCGCTGTGACTTAAAATAAAAAAAAAAGGTTTATGTTGGCACAACTCCCCAGTTTTTTCAAGTAGCAGCTGCGTCATCTGCCTTACCTGCCATACCCTAGGTATGCCACTGTTCCTGGGAAGTAAAGATGACCAGCAAAACCTAATGACTGTAGTTTGGTCTATCAAATATGAGGCTGGTACTGTATACCCTGTACTTATACGATAAGGGAAAGGCAGGACAGACATACAGTCAGACTGTTACTGGTACCATCGGAATTAGAACTCTGCTCTTGCTGCTGAAGATGGGGACGGAGCAGTCATTGGAGTGTCTCCAGTGCTGTGATGTCGATTCCTAATTCAACATTCAACTGTATACGACTCAAAGCACAGACTCAGATTCTTTAGTATTACTACTGTAATCCGAAGTGTTGCATTTCATTATAAGCTTTGCGTTGTATTATGTTTTAATGTCATGCTCCATTTTTTTAAAAATCTATTATCAATCAGTCAACTAGGAGCCGTCTTCCCAACCAGGGATGGCTACAAATGACCTCTGTCATGCTGTCTTTCACCCTGAATGTACACTCTTTCAGGCTGCTATTCGTCCATCCCCTGATATTATTTTCCCTATATGCCAACTTAAACCCTGAAGGTTGAAATTGTTTTTTTTTTATTCCACAATTACTACAATAAAAGTGAGTATTACAGATACTTTGAGAATGAATGTGTTTAAAGTAGAGAAATTTGTGAAGGAATTAGTCTTTTTAGCGAGCTACGGTGAGAGTGGCATTCTGCTTTTATCTCACTACATGATTACATAATTTGTACTTGCACGTCAGCAGCAGAAGTGAATTTGTATGAAAGAGTTACATACCCTTGCAGGAGCCTTTGTAGTTGACTGTCAGTTGGTCATTGTTAGCCCGGCATGCAGCAACGTATAGCGACTTGTAGCTGGGGTATGTCTTCCCATCTGTACCACACACCTGAACAAGGACGAATGCAACTTGCTCAGATGAACCAAGCTTCCTTTAATAGTGAAAAACTAACCCTGCATACAATTATTAACGCTTTGTGGTACCTTGCCCATTGGGTGGGGGCCATGCATAATCACCATAACTGACCATGCATGCTGTAAGATGCGACTGAAACCGGACTGTAAGAGACTGCTCATCTCGTCCCGTAGAACTGTGTTTCTGAACCTTTTAATCACGGCCATCTTGAGATATAAAGATTCAGATGGGCGTGCTTTTAATATCCGCAGCCAATTGTTTGAGGTTTTGAACAACGGATCAATATCACGGCACACGGGTGTAACACATAAGTGCTCCGTTTTTCTTCTAACTCAAGTCTGAGTAAGAAGAAGCTCAGTACAGTGTACAGGCTCTGTAGCACCGGCGAGGATCCTGAAATTAATAGGTAGATTTTAACTCCTAATTTTGCCCGGGCAGCGCCGTTAGAATACTCTTTTCGATTTCGAACTGCCAAGGGATTTTTCACGTGCGCAACAATGCACACGGGCATCCGATCTCACTACCCCGAGACCAGGGGGAATTACTAGAAGTCTAAGTCCACATGAAGAAATCCTAGCCCTTACCGGAGATTGGAGCCGGAACCTCTAGCACTCGAGGCGGACACCATGCCTCAAGACCACGCAGCCCCCCTCTGCAGCAAACCAAAACAGTGCTCATCTTTCGCCACCCACCTGACAGCTAACCAAACACAGAAACAAAAAGAAATCTAGATAGCAGTTACTTGTTAAATCCGATGTCACCAAATTACGATTTTCAGCTAATGTGACAACTGTTACTGCTCAGAGATGAAAACATATGAAGAAATATTAATTTAGGTCTAGATGTCCCTGCTGATATGCCTCTTCGCATTTCAGTCAATGGATGCGTTTCTGTGAAACTAGGCACACTGACCCTACAGCAAAAGCACTAGAATGCTACTGACAGGCCACATAAAGTTTAATATATTCCACATAAACTTTATTTAACCCAAAATGGTGGTGAAGATGGGTATAATTGTAAATTGAACTTATTATTTCTATACATAATAATTCCATTGTACATTAACAACGTACTTTCCGTTAAATAAATGTACGCCTCAGTTATATCCACTATCCTTATAAACAAAAAAAAAAAACAGTCAGATTACGCAGTACACCCGCTGACAGCCTACAAGTCCTCTCTGGAATAAAACAGGTACAGCTAACTGTATCGATCTAGTAATGTCTTCCTAAGCGAAGGGCAAACTGTCAGAGTCCATTGTGGGTATGGGACATAAAGAGGTGATGATATTGAATGTCCATGCCTGTACTTAGTGACCGCAAGTTGACCAACAGCTTTTGGGATGTATATTCCTATTCCTAAACAGTCTTCTACTTGTGATCTATCTTTATAAATAGACTATTTATCGAGCCTTTGTTGTTTGTGGCTATTGGTCTCGACTGTAACATTTTATGGTGAGTGAATGAGAGTCAAACCCACCAGGACATCCGCCAAGCAATAAACACCGGTGACACAGAGTGCCACCATGCGGATGAGGATAACCCGGGAAAGGTCACAGAAACCCTGTTCAACCCATAGATTGGGTTATATTTGGGCCCCGGCAATAGCCGCCGTGGGACTTTGAAAAAAAAATTTCGTCTGACATTTGGACGCAATGAGTAAGGACTTTCTAAATTTATGGTAATATTTTCTTATTAAGAATAACTAATTCTGGTATTCAGCTTCTGATTTTTCACAATTTTTCATGCTAGGGCAGTAGGGATGTATCTTTTTTTTTTTTTTTAAAGTCTGGTCAATAGTTTGTTGTAAATTTCTGAATTTTAAAAAATTCCAATAGGTTATTGCACGAGTTGGTAGCTTAAACGTTGTCTTAGCAGAGTTTTCTGAATATGACTGTTTGAATGTTGTGTACAGTGGATGAGTATTGTCTGATACGTCAATCATGAAGAAGTATTCAACATGTTTCTGTTTTGTTTTAAAAATATTTACATATATATCTTCGCCAGTACCACTGAATTCTGTGCATTTGAGCTGAAGTCAGCTAGTGCAATTGGAAAAAGATAAGATGAGCAATAAAAATAAAAGCAAAGAACCCTCTTCCACTGGTATATAGGGCTAGACCTATATTTTATGGACCAAAAGGCACTTGGTGGGTGATGTTGCCGTGTTTACTTACTAGGACTGTACCTGGTACCCAATTAAGGCGGGTCAACGTGGGAGCCAAAATCATTAAAAAAAACAACAAAATCCAGCCATGTCAGGAACCGAACTGACGACCTTCCGATCTGCAGGCGAGCATCTAGCCGCTAAACCACGACGGCTCCCAGTTTTAACTAGTAATGATCTGATAAATCTTCTTCTTCTTCTGGTTCACCGGCTGTGAATTCCGGTGGAAGGTCCCGGTAGTTCGTCCATTTGGACTTTTGGCCTTTACTTGGACCTGAGTTTTGCGTGTACATCTGTTTTACTGGCTTATTTGTTTGCCGCTACCTGTCTCACCGGCAGATGTACTCCGGCTTCGAGGGAATCTGATAAATATAAGACTAAGAATGAGATTTTATGAGAAATGGAACCTTTGAAAGAAAAGCACAAAACATTTTCTTTACCACTCCATATTCTTTGCACTTCTTCCCATGGCACGCACAGCATTTCTTGGTTATTTGTCCAACAGCTTCATCACCTGAATAATGAAACAAGATGTCATTACTTATTTGAAGTGGTGTCTCCTTCTTTTTCAGCCTTCGGGGGTCTCCGTGGCAAAGTGGTCAAGCTGTTTGCCTTGCGCTCTAAAGGTGGTGGGTTGGTTTCACGGCTGTGTCGTTCTGTTCACGAATACAACTTAACGAAGATCCCTAGGGATCTTCGCCGGAGCTACGGAGTTTGTGCTGTGCGATGCTAAGCAAGCAGCTAGCTGTTCTGCGGAGAGAGAACAAGCCAAATGGGATTAAACCCATGGGTAATGAAGTAGATCTTGACTATAAACTAGATGGCTGGGACTCACGAGCGGCAGCTACCGCATCTCCTGCAACTTCCTCCAATTACTGTACTCGTGATTCCCAGGCACCTTGTTTAGTTCCCATCCGCGCCCCGCGTAGCGGCGCGGGGGATACGCTCGGAGGTGAGACACTCGCAGAAGCAGGCCGGCAAGTAATGTATCGCCGAGACCCTGTCAGAGCATTTGTATCGTCTGCAGAAACGCTCAAAATTATCGTCTGCTACTACTATCATCTGCAGAAACTGTCGGTATTTATCGTCTGCTACTACTACCGTGTGCAATGTTCATATTGTCAAGTAATCCTAGTTTTGCCGCGATTTGTTCCTTGGCAGAAAGTCCGTATTTTAGATGTACGCGAACACCGTCGTTCGGATATTTTTGGATATTTTATGGCCAGAATGTGGCATGCCGCCATTTTGGGGGTTGATTCAAAGGAGAGCCGCCATGTCTAACGTTCAGCTTGAACTCTATTTACTTAGAGCAGTATAATTATCTGGCACTGAATGAAATAACAGCAAAATTCTCAAATTACCGAACACATGATGATGATGATACAGTTCTTCTTCTTCTTCTTCTTCTTCTTCTTCTTCTTCTTCTTCTTCTTCTTCTTCTTCTTCTTCTCCTTCTTCATTTATCCAATGTTTTGTGGAGACATATTTCACAGCTGTAACATTTGTACTGTTTTGGTTGGACAAACAAAGTTTTCCACTCCGCATTTTTATGTTTTAGTTTAACATGATCTGGTTTAGGTTAAAGGTTAGTTGCGTATCCTTAACAGGACGTCACAGAAACAACCCCAGCAGCCCCTGGCTGTTGTGTGGTTTCTCTAGGCAAATTTACGTCCAGTAGTTTGCCAATGCCCTCTGGACGGTCGGCTTCTTGATACCACTGTCGAAACCAACACAAGGCGCATGGCCCTCAGCTGGGATCGAACCGAGCATTACGAAGCGTTCGCATCGACTTAGCCACAGAGCCGACATGATCTGGCTTAGTTACACTGTAAATACAGAGTGTTGGAAATCCATTGCAGCCGACCTTCACCGAGGAGACGGTACCTGATTGGATTGGCTGACAACACTAACAAAACATGTGGTAGGGGAGTTTAGAAAGTTGGGGGGGGGGGGGGGGAGTGAAGTGGAGGGGAAGGGGTGATGAAAAAAGGCTTTAAGAGCATAAATAAAGAGCCGAAGAGCAGAAAAAAAGGACATAGAAAAGCAGAATGAGATATAACACATAAACATTTTGACTGACATAAAACTTGTGTGGGGTCCGGATCTACATTGTAGGGGAAAACACGAACAGACACACTGCCTTCTCAACAAGCATGACTAATGCTGGATATCATTCAAAGTTGGACTACATCTAAGAAGCAGGGAACCAAGAGTGTGCACACAAATAACCCAGATGTGTGAAACAGATACGCACGCAACACTCAGGTTATGGAACAAGACTAGAACACCCCGAATTTTCCGCTAGAGTTTGCAACCGGTGAACGCGAAGACGAAAAAGAAAAAGACAGCAAACTTCCGTTGACATGTACCATTGACTGACTGACGACTCTAAGATGTGTTGGGCGAGTTTGGAAAGTATATTAAGAGATTAGAGGAAGGGAGGTGGGGGTGGGAGGAGAAGGAGCAGTAAAGAAAGAGTTTAAAAGAAAAGAACAAGCAGAGACAGAAAAAGAGAAGGCGAATGATAATTTTTTTACAAAAACACAAATTTTGACAGCAAACTTACGTTGGCACGCACCACTCTTGTCCTTTGTAAAACCGGCGCAGCATTCACACTGGTAGGTACCTGGCGCATTTACGCATTCAGAGTTGGCATCACAGTTGCTGACTGCGTAATCACATTCATCAATGTCTAAATAAAAAGGAGAGCAGAAAACAGAGTCAAAGTAAGGTAAAGTAAAGGACCCTTTTTTACGTCTTCAGTCAAATTAGGCATATAGGGCTAGACCTATATTTTATAGGCCAATCGGCACTGGGTGGGTGTTGTGATCAGTATTACACTTTTAATACCTAGTACTTTACCTAGTACCAATTTTAGAATGGGTCGACACAGGAGCTTGATAATTTAAAAAAAAGCCAGCACCGTTAGGATTTGAACTCAAAACCTTCGGCTTTGCAAACGAAACATCTAGTTTCTACACCACGGCGACTACCTAAAAAAAAGGTTTAAAAAAGGAATTAAAGCATTGGTCTCTAGCATTTTTTAAGGGCGCCTTCGAGTATACGGAACCCCCCCCCCCCTCCCCCCAACGCCCGTTGAGTAAATGGCAAAACCCCCAAGCCCTCTTGCGTATATAGCAAGAAAACCCCCCTCCCTCCCCCCCCCCCCCAGGCCCCTCTGAGTATATGGCAAGAACCTCAACGCCCTGGCTCACAACATACCAAAATTAGATAAGAAAATATGAAGATTGCGTTCTTAATCTATAATTAAATGCAGGTGTTATTATCTTAATGAGATATTTTACACTTGATGTACAAACTGCTCAGAAAACCTAAAAGAAGTTTTTTTTTTTTAAGGAGAGAATGTGAAGCATACAGAGGTATATCACTACTGAGTCACGTAGGAAAAATGTACGCCAAATTACTAGAACAGAGAGTTAGACCCAAAGCAGAACAACAGCTGAGTGCATCACAATTCGGTTTCAGAAAAGGCAGGGGATGCACAGATGCATTATTCACTCTGAGGCAAGCGTGTGAGAAAGCCATTGAGTATATAATACCAAACAGAATATTGTGTTTATAGATCAGGAAACAGCTTTTGATAGAGTGGAAAGAAACAAACTGTGGTCTGTTCTTGAGAACTACGGGGTACAAGGACAGTTCCTAGAGAACATCATAGCCATGTACCACACAAGACAAAGTGCAGTAAAAACACAAGAAGGCATATCAGATATGTTCACAGTCAAAACAGGTGTGAGGCAGGGATGTGTGCTCTCCCCACTTTTATTTAACATCTATATAGACAGAATATCTAAAGAAGCAAGTTATGATAGAGACGACATAGATCTTTATAATCACGAGGAAGTACATACATCAGGAGAAGTAATCGATTCACCCACATTAAACGAACTACTATTTGCTGACGACCGTTGCTTGTTCTACCCTGAAGAACATAGACTGCAAGACCACATTAACAGGTTAAACTAAGTATGTAGTAAATACAACATAAAGATCAATGTAAACAAAACCGAAACAATGCAAGTTAGTAGAACCCCTGCCCCACTACACATACAGCTGAATGGTTCTGCCCTGAATCAAATTAGGGAGTTTAAATATCTAGGAAGTATGTTCACAGAAGATGGTAGAATTGACAAAAGAAATAGAAACCAGATGTCAGAAAGCAAGTGCACTTATATACCAATTGTCACCATTATTAAGACACCCAAGCATAACTACAAAGGCAAAGAGACAGATTATTAATAGCATTTTCATTCCGACATTAAGCTACCAGTGCCAAACATGGACACTATCTAAAGCCCATATACGCAAAATCACCACCTGCGAGATGAGGTGCCTAAGAAAAGCAGCCAACCTAACCATCCAAGATCGAGTGAATAATGAAACTATTAGGCAAATTGTGGGAACGACACCTTGTACTAGATTCATCGAGAAACAGCAGATCAAGTGGTTTGGCCATCTCGTTAGAATGCAGCAAGATCAAATACCACCACAAGCACTACATCTCAGAAGATCAACTACAAGAGTAAGAGGACGGCCGCGGAAAACATGTATCGATATTAAATATTAAAGACACTCTACGCCTTCACGGCATGACAATAGCCAGTGGCAGCCAACGTGCACTGGATCGCAAATTATTCCTCCCCACGTCGCTTAACGGCAGAAGTGGTTTATGATGATGATGACGTTTTGTTTTATGAATGTTTAAAAATGTTTTACTTTTAATCTTGAGGCAAATGGTTGAAATCTTTACATTCTTTACAAGGACACCTATAAAGTAATCTTGAGTCAAATAGTTGAAATCTTTACATTCTTTACAAGGACACCTTCAAAGTAATCTTGAGGCAAATAGTTGAAATCTTTACATTCTTTACAAGGACACCTTCAAAGTAATCTTGAGGCAAATAGTTGAAATCTTTACATTCTTTACAAGGACACCTTCAAAGTAATCTTGAGTCAAATAGTTGAAATCTTTACATTCTTTACAAGGACACCTTCAAAGTAATCTTGAGGCAAATAGTTGAAATCTTTACATTCTTTACAAGGACACCTTCAAAGTAATCTTGAGTCAAATAGTTGAAATCTTTACATTCTTTACAAGGACACCTTCAAAGTAATCTTGAGGCAAATAGTTGAAATCTTTACATTCTTTACAAGGACACCTTCAAAGTAATCTTGAGGCAAATAGTTGAAATCTTTACATTCTTTACAAGGACACCTACAAAGTAATCTTGAGGCAAATAGTTGAAATCTTTACATTCTTTACAAGGACACCTACAAAGTAATCTTGAGGCAAATGGTTAAAATCTTTACATTCTTTACAAGGACACCTACAAAGTAATGTTAAGACAAATGGTTGAAATTCTTACATTCTTTACAAGGACACCAACAAAGTAATCTTGAGGCAAATAGTTAAAATCTTTACATTCTTTACAAGGACACCTACAAAGTAATGTTAAGACAAATGGTTGAAATTCTTACATTCTTTACAAGGACACCAACAAAGTAATCTTGAGGCAAATGGTTAAAATCTTTACATTCTTTACAAGGACACCTACAAAGTAATCTTGAGGCCAATGGTTAAAATCTCTACATTCTTTACAAGGACACCTACAAAGTAATTTTGCAGCATATGGTTGAAATCCTTACATTCTTTACAACAGAGCTTTAGCACCAGTTCACCTCAGTATGGTCGTGGAGATATTCAGTCTACACTATCATCATCATCGTCAGGTGCCTTGCCGACTGGCGTGGGCGATCATGCCTCTCGTGTGCCGACACACCTTCATACCATGCAACAAGACTGTCAAGAATTTTCTCTCATTTTCCTCCTCTATCCCTCCTTCCACAGATCTTTCCAGTGGTCACAACATGTTCTATTTTCCCTCTTCTCATAACATGGACGAAAAATGATGACTGTCTCCTTCTGATGTCTGTAATAAGTTGTCTTCGGGCTCCCACTAAATGTAGCTGTTTTATATGTATACGAAACTGTATTTATTGCCAGCATGTACCGGTTTTTAGGCCGTAATAGGACAGCGGGGTCTTTAAGTCTGATAATTTTAGACAGTATGACTAGAACAATATACAAAGATAAGGCAAAGTTACCTTCGCAGTATAGGCCATTGCTCTGGTAGCCCTCCTCACAGATGCACACGAACGAGCCGTCAGTGTTGACGCAAGTCTCGCCAATCCTGTTACACTTAGCAACTCCAGTCGCGCACTCATCTATATCTGTGTGTATATAGAGCATTAATTTGAAATTCCTTCCCAATGGTTTCATTACAAAAGTATAAAAGCAACATCCACAGTTGTGGCAGAATTAAATAAAGCATTAATTCTGAATGCATATAATGATTCAAAATGAATACATTATTTATGTACCACGAGTTGGTCAGAAAAAAAAAAATGTGTGGTTGCTGAGGGAACCAAGCGTTCATTAACTGTGAACCACAGCCTTCTCTCTCCATCTTGGGCCGTGGGGCTGATGACGTCAGCTTGACATGACGTTACCACCCTGGGCTAATGATACGTTCCGTTTTCACTGTGATAGTCCCGGTTTTTTTCCCCCAGTTGAGAAGGCTGTGTCTAAACACACCTTCGGATATTGAAGTTTTTTTTACGAACAACAGTTTGAACTGTCACAACTGACACATCCTAGCATGCTTCAACAACGGTTCATCTGTATCTCTGCATCAATTTTGGCGATAGTTTTTCCTTCTTTCTGTTGCAACAATATTTGCTTGACTTTCCCGGGGAAATCTGCCGTAAACTCAAGCCCTTTCTGTGCCCAGTCTGTTACTGTTGTCTTTGATCTACATTTGCTACGTTACGCTGGCTACAATATTCGATGAATGTCTACTGGTCGACATTCTTCAAATTAAATAAATTGAATCATCGCTTCTTTGGACGGAATCAACCTGGTCACTTTCTCAACGTCAGATGCAGAACACATCAGGGAAGGATAAGCACAAGGTATTTTATTCACCGGTCAGTAATTGTCACATGACTGTCACATGATCCCGTTCAACCTACATAGGTACGCGCAATGTAGCATGGGTTTCAAAGGAACGCTGCCAAACTGTCACACGACACAGTCCCTATGACTTGAACAATTGCGCACGCATCCACACACTTTGACTGAAAACGACTGACTGACTCAAACTACCACGGGATCTGTCAGAAAAAAAAAGCAGAAGAACAAAGAGAGATAGAAAACAGCACCCCTTTGTAACAAGTACTTTACCTTTACATTGACCGCATTCGTAGATGTATCCAGTTTTGCAGGCACAAGTACCATTGATGCAAATCATGTTGGGCACGGAACATTGCACATTGTAACATTTGTCCTCTGCAACAAGAAACAATCAGTATAAATAGGAAACAAATAGGAAACAATTAGTCTAGTAAATAGGAAACAATTAGTATAATAAATAGGAAACAATTAGTATAATAAATAGGAAACAATTAGTATAATAAATAGGAAACAATTAGTATAATAAATAGGAAACAATTAGTATAATAAATAGGAAACAATTAGTATAATAAATAGGAAACAATTAATAATATAGGAAACAATTAGTATAATAAATAGGAAAACATTAGTATAATAAATAGGAAACAATTAGTATATAAATAGGAAACAATAGTATAATAAATAGGAAACAATTAGTATAATAAATAGGAAACAATTAGTTAGTAGTATAATAAATAGGAAACAATTAGTATAATAAATAGGAAACAATTAGTATAATAAATAGGAAACAATTAGTATAATAAATAGGAAACAATTAGTATAATAAATAGGAAACAATTAGTATAATAAATAGGAAACAATTAGTATAATAAATAGGAAACAATTAATAATAGTAGGAAACAATTAGTATATAAATAGGAAACAATTAGTAAATAGGAAACAATTAGTATAATAAATAGGAAACAATTAGTATAATAAATAGGAAACAATTAGTATAATAAATAGAAACAATTAGTTATAATAATATAAAACAATTAGGATAATAAATAGGAAACAATTAGTATAATAAATAGGAAACAATTAGTATAATAAATAGGAAACAATTAGTATAATAAATAGGAAACAATTAGTATAATAAATAGGAAACAATTAGTATAATAAATAGGAAACAATTAGTATAATAAATAGGAAACAAGAAACGATAAGTAAATAAAGGACCCTCTTCCACGCCTTAAGGCTATAGGGCATATAGGGCTAGACCTAAATTTTATAGACCGATCGGCACAAGATGGGTGATGTGGTCGGCATCTCGCCGGCCGCCTTTACTTCCCGGGACTGCATCCAGTAACCACTCGAGGCTGGGTCGACCTGGGAGCCAAGGTCATTTTTGAAAAAAGTCCAGCTCCGCCTGGGAGCGAACCCACGACCTTCCGATCCGCGGAGAGCGTCTAGCCACTCCACCACGGCGACTCCATAGAAACGATCGTGGTATCGAGCAAACAAATAGTGACCATGTTGCTGTGAGAGAGTGCCGGTCTGCTCCGGTGACCTGACCTGACTTGTCATAATGTGATGTGTTTGTCTCAAAGCTTCTACAGTTTTTGTGAATTGGTTGTGAAAGTCAGCAACAAATTGGTTTCAAACTGAGCATATGATGCGTTTATAAAAGGAGTGAGTGAGTGAGTGGGTGTGTTAGTGTGTGTGTTTGAGCGAGTGAGTGAGTGAGTGAGTGAGTGAGTGGGTGGGTGAGTGAGTGGGTGTGTTGGTGTGAGGGAGTGAGTGTGTGTGTGTGAGTTAGTGAGTGAGTGGGTGGGTGTGTTGGTGTGCGTGTGTGTGTGTTGATGTGCGTGTGTGTGTCTGTACGCGCGTGTGCACCTGTGCGTGTGCGTAATTAGAATAACAACAGTGACAACAAAGGCTTACGTATACATTGGTTGTTCTCATCCTTGATATAACCCTTTTCGCATCGAACGACTGTCAAACCGTCCACCATTGCACATTCTTCATTACTGCTGAGTTCTGCAGGTAATTGTCTTGTCACATTTTTACCCTGACATTCAATTTTACTGCAGTCCGCTTGAGTGCTGAAATCTCCAGCCTTTAGTAAAAAAAAAAAAATAATGACATCAATGTCTTCAATATAAAATTGTTAGAGGATATCAAAGGAAGCAAAGAGAAGAAAGGAGGCGGAAAAAATTAGTTGCAGTAGTTTGCCATTGTTATCTGGTTTACTAAACGGTCAGGACAGCATACCACTGTTACAAAGCGGCCTGCTGTCAAATCGCCTGAAGCTAGAATAGAATCAGGTGTTACCAAATTACGAAGGGCGTTCGCAATTCCTAAGCCACAGATGCCGACGAAAGAAGGGTAACAGGTCTTGAAATCTCATTAGGCAGATTGTCGAGAAAAGCTGAGTCAGATTTTTCATATTGAGGAGACAGTGAATTATCGTTTCACTCCTCTCTTTGCTCTAGGAAATGCGGGTGTAATGGGTATTAACAGAGAAGCTAGGCTTGCTGACACTGCTGTTTTATCAGTCAATCCTGACATATCCAACAGTATATTCCTTAAAGCAGTGTTTCCCAAACTTTTCTTAGTCGCGGCGCCATTTTTCAAATAAGATTTTTCCACGGCGCCCTAACCTAAGTAAAACTATGATTGTTCGTATGTAAGAGATTAAAAAGACAAAAAACAACTAGTGTATCTTCGAATATTTTGCGGCGCCTCTGTGAAGAGGTTGCGGCTCCCTGGGCACCGCGGCGCACAGTTTGAGAATCACTGTCTCAGAGAATTGGACCAAAACGAGACAGTAACTAATAATTTTGAATAACCCTTGGAGGTAAAACTAGGGAAAACATCATCACCCTGTGCTGTATTTAGGTTGTTATATTTCGCCACCTCACGCCAGTCTCGTCGATAGGGTCAGTGTTCTTGTCTCGCCCCATCCAGATGGCTAAACCATCCAGGTTTTAATCTTTTTACCCTCCCACTGCTCTCTTTCCATCAGTCTTGCCCGCGTTAGCAGGAACTGAATTCCATTTCTTATAAAATGTCCGGAAAACACACACACATCAAAAACATGTTTACTTGTTGATAATCAATTTATTGGGGATATAAAACATGAAAAAAAAACGAGTTCTTTCAAATTATTTGATCAGCCGCCACTGAAAGCAAACATTTGGATTGAAGTAAGCGGAAACTTCAGATATACCAAATAAAGAATATAAGACCCTTTTCCACGAGTTCAAGTGTTTTGGCATAAAGGCTAGACCTATATTTTATATAGTAATCGGCACTTTGTGGATGATGTTGTCAACATTTCCGCATTTACTTCCCCCGACATTACCAGGGACTCATTTAAGGCTAGATCGACTTTAGAGTTGAACCCCCGACCTCTGGATCCGCCGGCAAGAGTCCAGTCACTCACGTATGGCGGCTCCCAGTTACTGTATGCTGATGAAGTTGTGACCGTATACGAGACACATATACACGTGTTCGAAAGGCTGTGAAGATAATCCGCACCGATTTTAACATTCTTACATGTTTACATTATCACATTCCTTAACGACCAGGTGTAGGCGATCAAGATCCTTCACATTTTGCGATCTCCACCAGCATATATTATTTTAAACACAGATACACTGTTTGTTGGATCTGTGGTAGAAACTAAAGCAGTTGCCCCGCAAACATACGGAGCCCCTCTCCCACCCCTAGACAATATGTAAAAGGCTACTACTGCTTTCATATACGTAGATCTGTTCAAGTAATTGTTTATACATTTCATAATATGTCAAATATGTTATTTCATAACGTTATTATAGTTATTTCTTCTTCTTCTTCTTTGCTCACCGGCTGTAAGCTCCGGCGGAAATTCCTGGTTGTTCATTCATTTGGAATTTGGTTTTGTGCCGGGCCTGAGTTTTGCGTGCACATCTTTTTTACTTTATTATTTGTGTCCAGCTGGTTGTTCCTTGAGGCTCCGGCATCTGCCCTCTGACTTCGAAGGAAGCTCCCAGTCTGTTGACCCCTACAACATGTTTGTTAGGGAGGCAGAGGATCTATTCTTGTTTTCTCCAAAATAGGGCCCTGGATCCCAAACGGGGATTATGATCATTTGCCAATTAGCATATTAGTTTTTTTTTTTTTTTGGGGGGGGGGGGGGGTTCTATTATACGTAAACAAAACATAACCGCCGGACCCCCTACCTTTGAAATTCCTAAAAAATATGTTAAGATTTGACCCACCACCCCTTCACGCCCTGCCATTGTTTTCTTTAGGTCGGAATCCCTGAAATAAATGGATTCAGCAAAAGACACTCACAGCCAGGTATCCGTTTTTATAGAAACAACCACACTGCTCGGGCTTGATGCACCTGTCGCCTTCCAAGACTTGCCCTTGTTGGCAGAAACATTCTTGGCTCTCGTCAACATTCTCGGTTTCGTTGTCACAAGTTCGAACTGGGAATGTGGCATTGGGTGACGTTCTGTGGACCATGTTGTTTGGGCATCTTGGTTCTATTGAAATATACAGCGCGCGAATAATTCAGCAAGTACCATGTAGAAGAATTAAATATATGAATGAATGAATAATTGACATTACTGCGCTCAGGACATTCAAATACGTGCTCAGACTCCTTCCGCAGTCATCATCATCATTCCGTAACAATATATGTCTATGGGTCACCAGTTTCTGTTCTATCTGATCTGCTCTCTCCACGTATGGCGGTCAGTTGCTATGGACTTCATTGTTGCATGCCTGAGGCCTGTCTAATCAGTCAAGTTCTGTAACCAGGTCTTCCTTGGTCTTCCTTTTCTCCTCATTCCCTCTACTGAGCCCTGGAGTATTGTTTTTCAGAGTCCGTTAGATCTTATTATATGTCCATAACATTGCATTTTTCGCCTTTTCACTATAGTTAAAAGAGGTTCATAGTTGCCAGTGTGTGGTATAATTTTATGGCAAACCTCTCTGTGTGTAATGTGGTCTCTGTATGATATGCCAAGAATTTTTCAGAAACATCGCATTTCTAATGCTTGTATCTTTCTGTCAAATTCTTCTGTTAAGGTCCCCAGTAGCCAACGAAAGTCACCGTGGCGTTGGCAGCTAGACGCCCGCCTGCGGATCGGAAGGTCGTGGGTTTGCCTTCTGTGGCGCCAGATTCCACCCCCCCCCCGTCCACAAATGACCTTGATTACTAGGTCGACCCAGCTTTGTGTTGGTACCAGGTGCAGTCCTGGGAAGTAAAGGTGGACGGCGTGATGCTGAGACAATCAAAGATCCAGGTTTGTGGAGAGACAAGAATGTTTGTGGAGAGACAATAATGTTTGTGGAGAGACAAGAATGTTTGTGGAGAGACAAGAATGTTTGTTGAGAGACAAGAATGTTTGTGGAGAGACAAGAATGTTTGTGGAGAGTCAAAAATGTTTGTGGAGAGACAAGAATGTTTGTGGAGAGACAAGAATGTTTGTGGAGAGACAAGAACTTTTGTGGAGAGTCAAAAATGTTTGTGGAGAGACAAGAATGTTTGTGGAGAGACAAGAACTTTTGTGGAGAGTCAAAAATGTTTGTGGAGAGACAAGAATGTTTGTGGAGAGACAAGAACTTTTGTGGAGAGTCAAAAATGTTTGTGGAGAGACAAGAATGTTTGTGGAGAGTCAAAAATGTTTGTGGAGAGTCAAAAATGTTTGTGGAGAGACAAAAAATGTTTGTGGAGAGACACACATGTTTGTGGATTCTTTAGATCCACTGTAAAAAAACGGGGGGGGGGGGTTGACCGGGGGGGGGGGGGGGGGGTAGAAATAGACTTACTCCCCCCTAACAAGCATGTTGTAAGTCGACTAATTATTGAAGTCTATTTTGAAGTCGGCGTTCATCCGCCTGAGAGGGTAGGAACAAACAGGCTACATACAAGTAAGCTAGATCTGTAAAATTGATGTGTAGACAAAAGTCAGGTTCTGGAACAAGGCTAAAGTCCAGAAGTGGATGAACAACCAGAACTTTCTTCTAGAGTTTACATCTGGTAAACACGAAGAAGACGAAGACGACGAAGTTCCTGAATGTTGCCAGGACTGATCTGTTTGATCTATCTCACCACTCTTCACATGAGACAATAAACTAAAAAAAAAATAGACAATGGATTGATCTTCACTCATAGAAAGAAGTAGAAAAACAGAAGAATATTTTTATTTTTTATTTATAAGACAATAAAGTGTGCGATTTTTAGTCACAGGAACAGACACTGTCGGTCCCAAGTCCGGCTGAGAAAGGAGAAGGGTTGTGTTAAACATTGTGCTACATAAACTGGCATAATAAAACGTCACTCCGGCAAACTAACCACACACGTGGAATGTGGTGTAAAAAGTTCACATAAGATGGCTGCTTTGTAGCACTTCTCCGCAAGGATTGCAGGGAATAGAACGGACATGAGGACTAGACTGTGCAAGTCATATGTGACCTATAATGGCACAACAGAATAAAGTTGATGATGCTACCAACAAGAACAGAAAAATCCTGGGGTGACCCAATTATCGCAAAGTTTGAACACCGACTAACGACTAATCCCTCAGCCATTCAATCTGCACTGGCTAATGAGACATGCTAAACTTACTTTCTTCACAAGCCCTGATACGAGACGCCCAACCGCTGATAGGGATTTCCTCATTTTCCAAACAATCCCATGCCAGAATCTCAGCGACTCTGCAAATTTCCTTGTCCAAATCTTTCTCTGCGTGGCATAAATCGTACTCAAACTTTTCTCTCAGTTTTCTCAGGTGGTCTGGTTTCTTCTGCTTCAGGCATTCCTTTGAAAAAAAAAAAGTACGAAAATAAAACACAACAGAAAGCTAAACGGAAGGAACTGAAATAAATAAATACAGACGAACGTTTTGGCAACGTCTTTATAAATGGATTATTAAATACACAAAAATGCAAAGTAGTAAAAAATACGGAAGAATGCAAAGTAGTAATAAATACAGAACAATACAAAGGAATAATAAATACAGAACAACACAAAGTAGTAATAAATACAGAACAATACAAAGGAATAATAAATACAGAACAACACAAAGTAGTAATAACTACAGAACAACACAAGGGATTAATAAATATAACAACACAAAGTAGTAATACCTACAGAACAACATAAAGGAGTAAGGCTATACTCCAACAAACGGTCGGCATAGATGGCGGCGGCAAAATATCCAGCCGAGCCGCGGTCACGGGTCATGATGCGCTTCCGGCTACTTAATTTGCGGTCTTCCGGCGGTTTTCCGCCAATAACCATGTGGCCCCACACCGCTCACGCGGCGTAGATTGGGGCTAAACTAGATGGCTAGGACTCACGAGCAGCAGCTTCCGCATCTCCTGCAGCTTTGCTCGTGAGTCCTAGCCATCTAGTTTAGCCCTAATCCACGCCGCGTTAGCGTTAGCGGCGTGGGAGCCACATGGCGGTAGCCATTGTCGCCGGAAAAGCGCACATGAAGTAGCCGGAAGCGCGCAAATGACCCGTGACCCCAAATGCGCAATGACCCGTGATCGCGGCTCGGCTGGATATTTTGCCGCCGCCATCTTTGCCGACCGTTTGTCGGAGGATAGCTAGGAGTAATAAATAGAACAACACACAGGAATATTAAATAGAACAATACAAAAGTAGTAATAAATACGGAAGAACGCAAGGTAGTTTTCAAATACAGAAGAAAGTAGTTTTTTTTCTACCTTCTCCTCTCTTCCTCCTCTCCTCAATCTTCTGTTTCCTCCTGTCTTCTTTCTCCTTCTTCTAACTAGATTCTTCTTTCTTTCTTTCTTTAAAAAAAATGTCTGATCGTTCTTTTTGTTGATCCTCCTTCCAGTTCTTTGGTACCTTCTCCGATGTCAAATTTAAGTATGGTCTTATGAACTGACATTACAATGACAGTTTTATTATCGTAATTTATAATTAGCTTAGAAATTTTAGACCCAAATTTAAAAAAAAAAAAAAAAGAAGAAGAAGAGGAAGAAGAAGTAGAAATAGGAGAAGAAGAAGAATAAAAAGAAGAAGAATAAAAAGAGAGGGAGGCATAGAGAGTGAGAGAGAGAGAGAAAAAGAGGGATACATTTGCACAAACATTGACAAAGACAGAGAGGGAGCATGCATTGTATCAAAAATACACGTTTGTTGATTACTATTATTATTTAAATACTGGAACATTCATGACTGATCAAATCACAGTCAACTTCCAAAGTTCCCGAAGTTCTCATTGTGGGTTCCGGGCCAAATTGGGGGGGGGGGGGGGCATAGATCCACGTACCCCCCCCCCTCCCCCTAGGGCATTTCGTAAAAGACGACAGATAATGGATGTTTCCTTTGAAATTGAAGTGCTTTTGTCTAAGAGCTGAGTTACGAACAGTTTGCATGCAAAATAGGTCAGATCTGTAAAACAGATGTACACCTAGAGCTCACGTTCTGGAACAAAACCAAATCCCAGAAGTGGACGAACAGTTTCCGTGTACAGCTAGTGAGCGGCGAGAAAAAGAAACTCTTAAATCACAGGGCTCACCTGAAACACGGACGTTTTTGTGCTCATGAGAGCATTGATTTCAGCCTGCACAAAACGCCGAGGATAGAAGCAGAGATCGTCCACCTGCTGCGGCTGGTCAGGGCTGCAGTTGATGGGTCCAGTGTTCTTGCTCGCGATCCAAGACTCACTGAATAATGCCTCATTCTTTGTCTGCGAAAAAAAAAAAAAAAACTATATCAAGGATGCTACTGTAAGGGGTCACTACACCAACATTTTGTTCTTTCTCTATTGACAATGTTAGACCAATTATTTTAATATTGATCGTTTTCTGCGATATTTGTTACATTTTCACACTTTCAGTTTTTTACAATAACAAAAATAATTGTTGCCATGACAATAGCCACCATCTTGAAAAAAAAAATCCTATTTAATTAGAATCCTAAAATTTTAAAAACAAACACTGGTATTGAGGAATGGATGATTGATTCATGAACTCCAATCCTATGATAGGGACAGGTCTATTTGATTAACTTTAAAGGTGTTTCTAAATATTTTTCTTTAGAATTAAAATTTAGGTTTGTTGAAAAGATAAAAAAAAAAATGTAGCTTCATTAAACAATAATGCAATAAAAAAAAAAAAAAAAAAAAAAAAAAAAAAAAAAACCGCCTTATAAAATAGACTTGTTCCTACAGTATTTCATGTTTCTAGTTTTTATATTAGCTGAGATTTCGGGATTTTACCTACACAACAAACAGACAAATATAACTATGAGAAAAGTGACTTTTAAACTTTAAAAGTCAAATAAAATAGAATAATAAAGAAAGTGGTTCAGTACCAGTAGCAGGGCTTTTTAATGCCTTACTCAACAGTACCCAGTACCGGCACTTTTGTCAAGCATCTTCTATTGTTTTCAGCACTACTGTACTTGACACTTTGGTAAGTGCCGGTAACTCTTTTCAGAAGTTATGTGGTAAGCGCCATCACTTTTGTTCCAGGAAAAACCCTAGACCAGGAGGTTATCTATGAGATGCCAAAGTAGAGAAATAACCATGGTGAAAAATCACGAATCTTTTACGTTCAAAATGGTTAAATAAACAGTGATAATTACCATTGGGGTCGCTGGATTTTTTTTAGTATGTTTAAAATTAAGAGACTTATTTATACTATGGAGGGACATCAAGGGGATAAAACCACTCAAACAACAGACGTTACTTGAGACTAAACAGAGATGAGATTAATTACAGACCCCCCTCAAGTAGGTGGCGTCACGAAATCAATGAAGAAGGAGCTTCAGTCCTCTTATCATTTTTGAAGGGCTGGGCTCGTGAGGTTAAGCCGTGTTTAATTGCGCATTATTAATAATAATCATTAGTATGTGCAGGATGGTAAATAGATAAAGTATTATACTAGCCGTACACTGCTACGCGTTGCTGTGGCTTAGTCTCGTTAGATTAAAAATATAGAAAGTAGATATCGCACGAGTAATACCGAGGCGTCCAGGTACGACCAGAGTGTCACACTGAGTCGTCCAGATCCGAGCAGCATATCATACTGCGGCATCCAGATTCAACTAGAGTGGCATACTGTGGCGTCAAGATTCGACTAGAGTGCCATACTGTGGCGTCAAGATTCGACTAGAGTGTCACACTGTGGCGTCAAGATTCGACCAGAATGTCACACTGCGGCGTCAAGATTCGACCAGAGTGTCACACTGAGGCGTCCAGATTCGACCAGAGTGTCACACTGCGGCGTCAAGATTCGACCAGAGTGTCATATTGTGGTGTCAAGATTCGACCAGAGTGTCATACTGTGGCGTCCATATTCGACCAGAGTGTCATACTGTGGTGTCAAGATTCGACCAGAGTGTCACACTGTGGCGTCAAGATTCGACCAGAGTGTCACACTGTGGCGTCAAGATTCGACCAGAGTGTCATACTGTGGCGTCAAGATTTGAGTGTCATACTGTGGCGCCAAGATTCGACTAGAGTGTCATACTGTGGCGTCAAGATTCGACTAGAGTGTCACACTGTGGCGTCAAGATTCGACCAGAATGTCACACTGCGGCGTCAAGATTCGACCAGAGTGTCACACTGAGGCGTCCAGATTCGACCAGAGTGTCACACTGCGGCGTCAAGATTCGACCAGAGTGTCATATTGTGGTGTCAAGATTCGACCAGAGTGTCATACTGTGGCGTCCATATTCGACCAGAGTGTCATACTGTGGTGTCAAGATTCGACCAGAGTGTCACACTGTGGCGTCAAGATTCGACCAGAGTGTCACACTGTGGCGTCAAGATTCGACCAGAGTGTCATACTGTGGCGTCAAGATTTGAGTGTCATACTGTGGCGCCAAGATTCGACTAGAGTGTCATACTGGGGCGTCAAGATTCGACTAGAGTGTCATACTGTGGTGTCAAGATTCGACTAGAGTGTCACACTGTGGCGTCAAGATTCGACTAGAGTGGCATACTGTGGCGTCAAGATTCGACTAGAGTGTCATACTGTGGCGTCAAGATTCGACTAGAGTGTCACACTGTGGTGTCACGATTCGACTAGAGTGTCAAACTGTGGTGTCAAGATTCGACTAGAGTGTCACACTGTGGCGTCAAGATTCGACCAGAGTGTCACACTGTGGCGTCAAGATTCGACCAGAGTGTCACACTGTGGCGTCAAGATTCGACCTTAGTGTCACACTGTGGCGTCAAGATTCGACCAGAGTGTCACACTGCGGCGTCAAGATTCGACCAGAGTGTCACACTAAGGCGTTCAGATTCGACCAGAGTGTCATACTATGGCGTCAAGATTCGACCAGAGTGTCATATTTAGACCCCAAGTTCCGATTTAAATGTCCTAATCAATTCAGTTATACTAGAGACAACATTGCAGATATAAATAATTTCAAGCGAACCAAAGAAGAAGAAGAGGAAGAAGAACAATCAGAGTCGTAAGATAAATATAGAATCAGTTTACAAACTCCATATTTTAAATCCAAAATAATCAGGACACAAGACGATTTACCAGATTCCCAGCAGTCGGCGGGCAACCAGGTCCGCACACAGTGTCATCTTCAAATTTATCATTGTAGTTGCCACATAAGCCACACGGCGAATTGCTGAACGTTTTTGGTATTAACACTTTTACAATACTTTCCCCATCCCATAACACCCCGAGTCCAAACAAGGTTTTCACTTCCTGAAAATGAGAGAAATGATATCAGGAAATCAAATATACATGGGAAAAGCATATATATGATAAGCTATTATTTAATTCTTTGGTTTCTATGCTCACAGATCGTCCTCACTGTACATAGAAACAACCAGTCTACAAACACTTTGATTTCTTCTCAAGCCTTTGTAATGTCCAGACTCACAACACAAAAAGACGTACAACATAAACCTATTTTATATCATTGCCATAAAGTATCACCCAACGCACAGGACAGCACGTTACTTCATAACCGCAAGCTGCCCAGTTTCCAGCTAGGTTAGGCTGATGCAAAATTCTCATTTATGGACCAGAAGCCCAAAGGTTCCGTCACCCAGCTGATTTGTATACTTTGTGCAACACTATGAACAGTGAATTTCATGCAGAATGTTTTTTTCTGTTGTCCTCATGGTCTGGCCCTATATGCCCAATATACCTCAAGACGTTGAAAAATTGCTCTGTTTATTTTTACTTATGCTCGGCGCAACCCTGGGTTGAAAAATTGCTCTGTTTACTTTTACTTATGCTCGACGCAAACCAGGGTTGAAAAATTGCTCTGTTTACTTTTACTTATGCTCGGCGCAACCCTGGGTTGAAAAAGGTCCAGCACTTTTTACTTTCTTACAACAAAACCAGAAATAATGTCCAGACTTACAATATTCCCTCTGACTTTTTGGATGGTCAAGTAATTTTTCTCCTTGTAATATCTGACCCTGGAGCCATCAACGATGATCTGCCCACCTTGATCTAGCCGTATGACCTTTGAACTGTAAATGAGTACAGACCTAATATAGGAGTAATGACCAGGCCTGGTGCCGCCCTTCTTCCAGGTCTGTATAGTAATTCTGAAGGGAGAAGAAAACAGGACAATTACTGCATCACACTAGGCATAAATAACCTCTCTTGCGCACGAGAGGCTTCAAATGAAAACAGTGTGACAGAAGTTACTGCAACCCTGCCATTGCCTTGTAACCTGTAAATACTGGTGTTAAGGATGTCAAGAGAGATAAGCAGGTGACATTTATGACTGACTTATGTTCAACTCCCCTATGACATCACACCCAGCGATAAACAGCCAGTGACACAAAGTATCATCATTTGGATGAGGATCACTCAGGGACAGGTCCCAGAAACCTCGCTCAGCCCATAGGTTGGGTTATATTAGGGCCCCCGGCAACAGCCAGGGTAGGGTTTAAAAAAATGCGCCCCACATTGTAACGCAGTTACTATTATTACGTGACATCCCGTTGCAGACGAACTCGGTGACGTCATAATGACAGTTTGAAGATGGACGCTACATATTTGACTTGCATCAAAGAGGAGCAGTGTTCTGGTATCCGTCTTTTGATCAGTGAAGGTTTGAAACCTACATAAACTGATCGGTGATTGAAGGTCCAGTATGGTGTTGCATGTCTGTCAGTCCAGAAAATATGTGAATGGAGTAGAAAGTTTCAAAACAAAACGGCGTGACTCCTGTGACAGACTGTTCAAGACCGGTTCGTGCATATCGAATAGTGACCCCAAAGTCGACTAAAGCCGTTAAAGGCCTCGTACAGAAAACCGCTGATCGACTGTGAGGGACAGTGCCGCACATCTTGACATCAGTCAATGTTCAGCGCACTCAATCTTTTACGGCGTGCCACAATACAGAAAAATGTCTGCTCCTCCTTGGTGCATGCCAAAGTGGGGGGGGGGGGAGGGGGGGGGGGGGTTAATACAGCTTCTATGACTTCACCGTGTTAGCCTGCATCGTGATGTCATGTGCTTATTATTCATTACATCTTTAACAACAATATTGACAGGTTACAAGACGATGACATAGTTATTCCAAATTCTGTCATAGTTTTGATAGTTTTCATTTGAAGCTCCCTTGCATTTCACAATGTCATATGTGCCCTTAGCAACCACACTAATATATCCATAGATATGGCCATCAACTGTTATCGAGTAGATTTATATACAAATTGAACTACAGTTAAATTATTTTGCAACATGTGTTATTGAATGAATTATCATTTTGAAGATAAATATTTAATAAATGGCCTATTTCTTTTTAAGAATAATAATTTATTCAAAAACACATGTTGCAAATTAATTGAAATGTAGTTCAATTTGTGTACAACTCTACTCGATAATATTAGTAATTTAGTTACTACCGACCAGCCACGGCAGCCTCACAAAAACGGGAATTCCCGTTTGAGCCGTACGGGCTTATACTTGGAGCTGGCCGTGGTTTCCAGTGACCCCCTCATTAGTCATAGTGTGCATTACTTCCTGTAATTAATGAAAGTAAACCTTCCAAAAGTCTACCAAGATGTTTCATGATAAAAATATATATCGTAAAGAAAAAAAAAAAAAAAAAAACTACATATGATATTCTTCCTTAGTGGGAAAATATATTTCCTTAACGTCATGGATATTCTAAGGATGCATGCAGAAAATCGTTGCCATAAAGCAGGCAGTTTTCGAGAAAATGGCTTGCATGCGTGTTTATCTATTATTGAACGAACTATAGTATATATGTGGGTGTTGCGCTTACAAGTCAGCACCTCGAAAAGACGAAGATGACAACACAACAATGACTACAACATGTCGTATGGAACTAATGAGGCAGCGTATTCCGCTTAACAAATACCCGAAGAACATGATTTATTACGATTGTTCTAAGAAATTTAAAAAAAAAAATTGATGTCGAGGTCTAAACAAGATATTATTCTATCACGCGATCTTACCTGAAACTGCGAGGTTCTCCCGGAGAGCAGCCATCTTGAGAAAGAACATACTCATTGATACCTTGAACATCCAACCACCGACCATCATATGTGCGACAGTGAGTGTCTCCAAAACAGAAACACTCGCCAACAGCTGTAAGTAAATTAACATAGATATATACGGTGCAATATATTATCGTACGTGATGAATGAAAAATCTCCAAGCACAGACACAGACACAGACACAGACACACCAGCATGGCTTAGGTAAGTTTATGTATATATCTTCTTTGTTTTCCCTTTCTTTTGCCTTTTGGGAAGTTTGCGTTAGGGGTAGCAACAATAAAACATGTGGGGGGGGGGGGGGGTGGTGTTTATAGTACAGTTTGAAATCCTTAACTATAGAGAAGAGACATAATTAATCTCAAACCATTGAAATGGCACCATAGGTTACATAAATTTATGTTAACCAAGCATAGGTCGAATAACAAACACAGCGACAATTACAAACATACAGGACCGTATCGGTGTGTCTAGAATAAAAAAAAAAAAAAAATTAATTAAGAAAGAGGTTTGATTGGTCGGTTTTATTGTATTAAACGTAATTAACATAAATAGAAAGGGGAAAGGCTTGAAGAAACAATGCAACGAAACTGGCCTCAGTTATGAAGTCATAATCAACGAGTTTCCCCGCAGTTTTGTGATCTTGTAGTAGCAGCTGGCCGAATAGTTAAGAACACCTGGTTGTCATGCTGGAGACTCCGGTTCGATTCGTCGGTAAGGTTATGGTTTTTATTTTTCTGTCAGGGGGCAAGAATAAAATTCCAACCTGCACAGTCTGTGGCGACAGCACTGGTCATACCGCTATAAATCTTCATATTCAAAGACACTCCTTGCTTATCCCGATAAATATCAATGGCCCGGAATGCATGTAATGGCTGGAACCGCAGCCTGCACTTTCCATTGCCAAAAAAAAAAAAAAAAAAAACATTGTTTTGCTTTTTTTAATTATTACTTTTCATTACAAATACGCTACTCGGTTTACGTCTCACTGTCCATGTAACGATAGCTAAGAGAATAAACAGAGCAAAAAGAACGCCGACAGCAAGCTTACGCCATTCATGCACGAACTATAACGCTTGAAAGCTATCAGTTACTAGTACTACGATACTAGCAGCACACGCATACTGTCAACAGCAAAATGAAGGGGGAAGGTGGATGCGGGATATCATGTCATTCCCTCTCCAGAGTAATCGTTTCCCGCTAACACTTACACATGCGAAATGATCACGCATCGTCACTGGTAAATACAGACAGGCATGGAAGTTGTGAGAGTAGTGAATTTGGAGCAAAATGGAGGCACAGACTGCGAGCGCTGTGTGATGGATGAAGGATACAACATGACGATGACAGCAATGATGTAGTGATCAAGTCCAAGTCATGAAATCCAAGCATTCTGTACAAATGTGGTGATGGTAGCAATGATGTAGTCATTCTAAGCCATGAAAACCAAGCAATCTATACAAACATGATGCTAGTAACAATGATGTAGTGACCATAAGTCTAAGCCATGAAAACCAAGCAATCTATACAAACATGATGATAGTAACAATGATATGGTGACCATAATTCTAAGCCATGAAATCCAAGCATTCTGTACAAATGTGGTGATGGTAGCAATGATGTAGTGACCGTAGTTCTAAGCCATGAAATCCAAGCATTCTGTACAAACATGGACACTCACGAGCACAGCTATGTCCATCTCCTTGGAATCCGCGATTACAAATACACCTGTAGGCGCCATCTAGGTTCTCGCAGTGAGCATTGGTGTCACAGTTGCTGAGGTTTGAGTTAGCACACTCATTGATATCTGTCACCGAATAGTTGCAATACACTGAATGTTCAAACTGATAGCTTCTAATAGAAATAGTCACATTTCAGAATTTGATTTAGTTAATGTGATACAAACAATACCTTGCAAAACTATTGCCTGGGATATTCAAGGGCTTGATCACAGACATCAGAGGAAGACAGTCATCATTTTTCGGCCATGTTATGATATGAGAGAAGGGAAAATAGAACATGTTGTGACCACTGGAAAAAAATGTGGAAGGAGAGATAGAGGAAGACAACGAGAGAAGATGCTTGACAGTCTTGTTGCATGGCATGGAGGTGTGTCGGCACACGAACTGATACATGCTGCAGGAGATCGCAGATTATGGAGAGGCATGATCGCCCACGCCAGTCGGCAAGGCACCTGATGATGATGATCAGGAGTCGAGTTAAACACAATACCATAGTACCAGTGAACGTATGATGTAATTTTAGGATTGAAAGAGTTAAGAAACATGTACTGAGTACTGTAGCTTACACTATGACTTTGGCCAAGCTACGGAACGCATGATAAAAAAAAAAAAAAAATGTAAGCGGTGCTGATCTAGAGGTGAATATGTATACCTGTGTACCCTAGCGCCCTTCTAACCGTCTTCAACAAAATGCAATTAACTGTGAAATTAGACGAGACGCTGCCACTTGAGTGTTTTGGCGCTCCCCTGCAAACAGCGCTCAGGGCATCTGCCCCCTTCCCCTCCCATGCCACATCCTAGTTGCACCACTGGCATATGTCCTTGTGTGAAATTAATAAAACACAGAAATGTATAACCTGGGACTGGAGAATTCACGTGAGCTAGGTGGGATTATAAGAGACTGGATAATAAACATGAGCTAGGTGGAATTATCAGAGACTGGAGAATTCACGTAAGCTAGGTGGGATTATAAGAGACTGGAAAATTCACGTAAGCTAGGGAGGATTATCAAAGACTGGATAATTCACGGAGGCTAGGTGGGATTATCAGAAACTGAGAATTCGCGTGAGCTAGGTAGGTTTATCAGAGACTGGAGAATTCACGTGAGCTTGGTAGGATTATCAGATACTGGACTGGAGAATTCACGTGAGCTAGGTGAGATTATCAGAGATAAAGAATCTGAGAGAAGGCACTTCTGCCATACGGTGCTTGCAGAATGAGCGTTTGAATGTCGATGAGAGAAATTTGAAAACATGAATAAGCCTCCGACAGCTGCTAATAATCCCAGCCATGTCAAGTTGCTTAAATGATGGGTATCTGGATCTGTGCTGTTTTTGATTCTGTGCTGATGAATTGTAAGCGTTTAATTCAAGGGTACTGATGGATGTTTTTGGAGAATTCTACATTGAAAGAGTACTTGGAATGGGTAAATATATCGATGGTATAATCGTATGAAGGTTGTGTGCTGTTTAGACTATAGACAGATCTAGCTCTAGTGAGCTTTCACTGAATAAAAACAGTCCAATTGATTAACCGGAGTTACCCTTCGTTTCCTCCTTGGAGTTAGGTTATTAGTTAGTGTAGCTAGAGAAGATTACATGCACTGAGCCTACAAAACAAGTGCGTTGCTGTCACTAAGCCAAAGCACGGCCTGACGGGAATTCCCGTTTTTGTTAAGAGACGTGGGAGGTCGGTGGTAATATATAAATGTATAAATATATACATAATAAATATTTTCTAATAGCCCAATTATTTATCTTCAAAATAATAATTCATTCAATAACACATGTTGCAAATTAATTAAACTGTAGTTAAATTTTGTATAAATCTACTCGATAACAATTGTTACCACCGACCGGCCACTCCAGCCTCACAAAAACGGGAATTTCCGACTGAGCTGTAAGGCCTTATATCTGGAGCTGGTCATGGCCAAAGTTAGCAAACTGCTAAAATTGTTTCGAGAGTATCACGTTTGCACATTAAAATCATATGAAATTTGTATAGCTGTGTGAAAAGTAATACATAATTCATTTTGGCATATTTAGAGTAGGAGTTCTTCGGCATATTGTAAAGTGACAAATAACAACCTGAAAACGCACTTAGGTGAAAATCGCTAAAACTGCATTTAGCTGACCTTGACATAGTGCCCTTAATAAAGTTCCGGTCGTGAGAGGCCCAATGTAACTAGAGATATTGTGATTTGTGTATGTCAGTGGCACGGCCAGCTCCAGATTTATAAGGCCGTACAGCTCGAACGCAGGCAGGTTTTCGGTCAAACAGATCCTGTACTGATCAGATAGCTACATTACGTATTATAATAGAGCAAAGCATTGAACTGAACTCACGGCTTTACATTGGATTTATAGACTATGAAAAAGCATTTGACAGCATAGATAGGGAATCTCTCTGGAAATTGATGGGGCACTATGGAATCCCACAGAAAATTATCAGCTTAGTAAAGGCAACATATAAAGACATGAAATGTCGAGTTCTTCGTGAGGGAAAGCTAACAGATGCATTTGAAATAAAAACAGGGATGTATTTTGTCGCCTCTCTTATTTTTACTGGCTATAGACTGGACTATGAAAACAGTAACTGCTAACACCAAGAATGGAATTCAGTGGACCCTACAAAACAGCTTGATGATCTGGACTTCGCTGATGATATTGCTCTTCTGTCCCATTCACGGAATCAGATGCAAGATAAATTAAATATACGTAATGCGAGATCAGAGCAGCTTGGTCTGAAAATCCATAAAGGAAAGACAAAGATAATGAGAATAAATCAGGCAAATAGTAATGTGGTTTCTCTTAATGGCACCCCACTCCAAGACGTGAAGTCGTACACCTATTTAGGCAGTAATGTAGATAAAGATGGAGGAACTGATAGAGATATTAAAATAAGAATACAAAAGGCAAGAGGGGCTTTCATAGCACTAGGGAATTTGTGGAGGTCAAAAGAAATTAAAAGAAATACTAAACTAACAATTTTTAATTCTAATGTCAAATCAGTACTACTGTATGGGGCGGAAACATGGAGAACAACCAAGGCAATTACTAATAAATTACAGACATTCATTAACTGGTGCCTGCGCAGAATAGAGGGAATAAAATGGTATGATAGAATAACTAATGTAGAACTTTGGGAGAGAACTAAACAGGCTCCAGTGGATCAGGAAGTGAGGAAAAGACGCTGGCGTTGGATAGGGCACACACTGAGAAAACAGAAGAACAGCATAACTAGAATGTCTTTGCATTGGAACCCACAGGGGCATAGGAATAAAGGAAGGCCAAAAACACATGGAGAAGAGAGCTGGAGAACGAGGTTAGAAAGATTGGGAGGACAAGGGGAGAGCTCCATGCAATGGCGAAGGATAGAACGACTTGGCGTGAGTTGGTTGAGGGCCTATGCTCCATTGGGGGATAGAAAGGCAGAAGAAGACAGCTCGAACGGGAATTCCCGTTTTTGTGCAAAAATTGAGTCCCTCTGCGTCCACAGTTTTTATCGAGGAGATGTATACGCAAATTAAACTACAGTTTCATTAATTTTCGACATATTTTTTTAGAACTATACGTCATTTTTAAGGTAAATAAGTGTGCCAATTAAATATAACCATAAAGACTCTTACAGACCACAAAAAAAAAAAAAATGCTTTTGCTATAGTCAACATGAACATAAACATCAATAACGTTTAGATGTAAACTAAAAGTTGTTCCAGCAAAAGTAAAGAAACATCAGTGCTAACTCTTTGACTCTGAGAGGGTATTGTTGCATCAGAGGAGCGGGGGGAAGGGGGCGGGGGAAAGGGGGGGGGGGAAGGGAGTGGTGACATTTGTACTTTATCAAATTTAGCGCATAAAAATACCGCTATGAAACATACACATATCATACATAACATAAATATAAATGATTGATGGTTATTATTATTATTAGTAGACTACTACAACATATAATTAAACTGTTACTTAATAATTAGTAAACAAGCACAATCAGTATGAAATTGATATGTGCAATACTTTTTTCACCCAGAGTGGTTTTCTTAACACTACTTATAGCACTACTAAATATGTATCCTCAAGGTACAAACAGCACAAACAAATTTGTCCGGTTTCATCTTGTTGGATGAAATCAATTCCTTATCATTGCAAATTTTTTGGTAACAAATATGCATAGGAAGTGGATGAACAACCAGATGTTTCCGCAAGAGTTTACAGCCAGTGTTCGCGAAGCAAAGCAAAAGCCAGTTTACAAAAATTAACACTTACTGTACAACTGCAAATATGCAAAAGAAGTCGATCAGCAACCAGAAGTTTAGGCAAGAGTTTACAGCCAGTGTTCGCGAAGCAAAGCAAAAGTCAGTTTACAAAAATCAACACAGGCCGTACAACTGCAAATATGCAAAAGAAGTCGATGAGCAACCAGAAGTTTCCGCAAGAATTTACAGCCAGTGTTCGCGAAGCAAAGCAAAAGCCAGTTTACAAAAATTAACACTTACCATACAACTGCAAATATGCAAAAGAAGTCGATGAGCAACCAGAAGTTTCCACAAGAGTTTACAGCCAGTGTTCGCGAAGCAAAGCAAAAGTCAGTATACAAAAATTAACACAGGCCGCACAACTGCAAATATGCAAAAGAAGTCGATGAGCAACCAAAAGTTTCCACAAAAGTTTACAGCCAGTATTCGCGAAGCAAAGCAAAAGTCAGTATACAAAAATTAACACAGACCGTACAACTGCAAATATGCAAAAGAAGTCGATGAGCAACCAGAAATTTCTGCAAGAGTTTAGAGCCAGTGTTCGCGAAGCATAAGTCAAATGGTTAGGGATTATTTTTATTAGTGTACTGCTACAACATATAATTATACTGTTAGTCAACAATTAGTAAAGAGGCAAAGACTGACTTGCTGTGAGAGGTTAGTTAGTAAATTAAATATTATTTTCATCCACTTACCTAGAGCTCCGAAATATCTTGACACAATTTATCCAGTGTGGTTGCACCATTTATGCACAGTCAATATCAAAGCAATAGTTTTCTTCAAACACAAGATAGTTTGCACCTGACAACTGTCGATATTCTCCAGATATGGCTTCTAAATTACCTGTTTGTATTATCCCTAAAAGTAAGATTTCTACATTTAAAGTAGAAAAGTAATAAACAGCCAGTTTTCAAAAATCCGAACTACTGACTAGAAACAGTGACACTGACACACACATCACAACACGACTGTCTTCCGTGAATTAAAATTAAAATTGCTGTATATCCACTTCACAATAGCCATTTGTAGATTTGTACGAATACGTTTAAAACACAGGACTTAGTAAGCATATTAATATGTCACACAATGCAACATGGAAACGCTCCTAGTAACCTTTTTTCGAGGGGGACTCCTCCAAAATGTGCCGTGATCCAGTTGTCAGGACTAACATACAGCCGGACGTGGTCAGTGGAAAGGATTTATTTTGTACGTGCTTCGTTATCTGTTCATGTATTATATAGTAAAGCAACTATGAGATGCAGAACCACCCGCAGGGTGGGTGGGGGATTGGGGGCGTCGTTACAAGATACAACTAAAAAATGGCTACAGTCAGGATACCTTGGCACGATGTTGGTCCTGTCTGCAGGTATCCCGAATTGCAGGTACAGTAGTAGCTTCCAGGTGTGTTAACACAGGTGGCCGTATGAGGACAGGAGTTCCAGCCAGCGCACTCATTATCATCTGTAAGTCAGTAATAAGGACAGTTACATCACACTTCAAGTTTCTTTTATGATTAACAATCAATAAATCAGATGCCACCTCCGCAATGAAAGTTGACTGCAACGCATCACTAATACTATATGTCAGTGGTTCTGGCTGCACACTCTCTGAGACTGTTCTTCCTTATCTCTGCTTGTTGTTAATGTGTCTGTTCATGTTACTAACTGTTCATGTTACTAGCTATTCTTGTAACTAGCTGTTGATGTAACTATCTAACTAACTGTTTATGTTACTATCTCTTTAGGTTACTATCTGTTCATGTGACTATTTGTTCATGTTACTATTTGTTCATGTTACACGCATACTCTCAGCTGCAATGCGACTAGGAGAAACCTATCATGTGATACCAATTCAGTGTACGCGTTACCTGTTAACGCTTACACATACGATCTGATCATGCCTCACCACCATTGAGTTGTTAATACTACGGACGGCAGTCCTTTACAAGCACAACAACTTGTGCTTTTATTTACATACAGCACTAGGGGCATTCTCATAAGCGCTCCGTCCCTATCTTCAGCAGCCAGCGAAGAGTTGAGATACTAATGGTGCCAGTAGCTTTCTGATTAAACGCCCGTATTGCCTTTCCTCTGAGCCTCGAGCATCTGCCAGAGCCTCGCGACATTCCCCGCTGCAGCAATCTCATCAGACTGTGGTGATCTATCTGCTTCTCCGAACTGTACACGCTCTCCCACAAGGCACTAACCACGTCTGCCTTATCATGTATCAGTATTCCACCAAGTTGTGCAGAGCCAGCCAGTCTGTCCGCCTGTTCATATCACGGACCGTCAAAACAAGGAACAAGGCAGAAAACATGGCAGCTACCAAACTAAATGAATAAATAAATACAAATTTATTAAATCAGATTTTCTCAAAAGGACAATTTTTTAGCTCATTTGATGAATTTTGACATATTAGAACTATATGCTTGATATATAAAATGCAGCTGTCGTTTGAAAGATGAATGCATGGAAGGGCCGAATGCAAGACGGGGCCGAGTGCCCAATTTGTAACCCTTTGGAAATGCAGTTCGTTTGTTTTTTCGTTCGTTGTCCAGCTGCTTAGAGTTGACAAAGTCTATGAGGCATTTAGAACCGAAATCACGTAGCCGCTATATGACTCTTTGGATGCCAGAGTTAAAAAGCAACAGTAGCTTTAGATTAAAAACAAATTTTAAAAAAAAGTGGACAATTTTGAGAACATATGTCTTAGAAAAATACCAAATCTCCCATGGACAGATTTCAGATCTAGTACACAAATAAGACAATAGACCAAGAAAGACAATGTATCCAATTTTATAAGAAAGCGCCGCTGAAACTACACCGGCCATGCCCTCAGAATGGACAAGACAAGACTTCCCCTTTAAGCCCTAATATGGACACTGGAAGGGAAAAGAAAACAGGCAAGACCAAGAGAGACCCTGCGTAGAACCATCTATATGAAATGCTAAACCATTGGCCTAATGAACACTCAAGACCTAAAACAGGTGGTAACAAATCGCCAGACATGGGGATCTATCACCTTTGCCCTATGCGCCGCCTTAGGCTCAATAGGAAACACTAACTAACTAACTAACACGATTGGGCAGGGATGTTTGATTCACTCTCAGGATATTTCCACGGACACCTAGTTAAAAGACACTGCTGAAGACTAGATAAAGAAACTTACCAATACATTCACGACCATTAGCTATTGATTGCCAGCTGTTGAAGACTAGATAACGAAACTTACCAATACATTCACGACCATTAGCTATTGATTGCCAACTGTTGAAGACTAGATACAGAAACTTACCAATACATTCACGACCATTAGCTATTGATTGCCAACTGTTGAAGACTAGATACAGAAACTTACCAATACATTCACGACCATTAGCTATTGATTGCCAACTGTTGAAGACTAGATACAGAAACTTACCAATACATTCACGACCATTAGCTATTGATTGCCAGCTGTTAAAGACTAGATAAAGAAACTTACCAATTCATTCACGACCATAAGCTATTGGTTGCCAGCTGTTGAAGATTAGATAAAGAAACTTACCAATACATTCACGGCCATTTGCTATTGGTTGCCAGCTGTTGAAGACAACGCCCTTGCCGTTCCAGCCTTGATTACAAACACAGTAGTAGTTGACACCTCGGGGTACACATTTTGCCATTGGGTGACACTCGTGGAAATCCATGTCACAAGCGTTCATGGCTGAAATACAAGATATACTGGTGGTATTGTCACAGCTTCAAAATAATAGTGTTATTAAATTGATTGTTTTTTTAATTGTATTTCATGGCTTGAATTTTAAAGCTGTATTAAACTGATAGTTTTATGATTGTATTTCATGGCTTGAATTTTAAGGCTGTATTAAACATATAGGTTTATGATTGTATTTCACAGTTTGAAAATTGTAGTGCTATTAAACTGACTGTTTTATGATGGCAGTTCACCAGATTGAAAATAGCAACGTTATTAAAATGATTGTTTTATGATGGCATGTCACAGCTTGAAAATAGTAGCGTTATCAAACTTTCATAACTGCCAGTGTATACCGCTTTTTGGGGAAAGAAAGGGTGGGAGTGCGACAGAGGGTCGTGTGTATTATGGTTTGAGGCCGATTGGCTGGTGAAGTGGCTTTGATTTGCGCAGGTTATATGTTTTTTATAATCTCATGATCGTACCTTTACTTCCCTGGACATTTCCTGGAACAAATTTTAGGCTTGACCGGCTCTTTAGCTTAGATAGTTTTTTAAACCGTAAGCGTGGTCTTGAGGCATGGCATCCGCCTCGAGTGCTGGAGGTCCTGGGTTGAGACCCCGGTGACGGCTGGGATTTTTTGACTTCCAGTTATTTTCCCTGGTATCTTGGTAGTCAGATCAGATCCCCGTGTGTAATGTTGCGCAAGTTAAAAAAAATTCATTTGCAGTTAAAACATATGGTCTATCGCAACAAAGTATTGTAAACTGGCAGATAAAGACTAAAAATTCTTACCTGCTCAGTAATTCGTCTCTTGCAAAGATATATTGTAAGCTGTTAGATGAAGTCTACACATTCTTACTTTCTCCATGATTTGTCTCTTGCAAACATATATTGTAAGGTGAAAGATGACGCCTACAAATTCACCATTGTTTATCTCTTGCAAACATATATTGTAAGGTGATAGATGACGCCTACAAATTCACCATTGTTTATCTCTTGCAAACATATATTGTAAGGTGATAGATGACGCCTACAAATTCACCATTGTTTATCTCTTGCAAACATATATTGTAAGGTGAAAGATGACGCCTACAAATTCACCATTGTTTATCTCTTGCAAACATATATTGTAAGCTAAAAGATGATGTCTATAAGTTCTTAATTTCGCCATGATTTGTCTCTTGCGAGAGTTCTATAAAAGATGAGCTCTATAAATGCTTACCTTAACCGTAACGCTTACATGAATGTTTATAACGTTATTGCCAGGAAATTAAATATGTTCTTTTAGCAGGGACTGAATACACTGATTGGCCGATTAGTGACACATGCAAATAATGTGGAAACTGCGCAGATGTGGTGCTATAGAAGAATGATGAAAACAACAAGAACAGATGAAATGTGTTTTGAAGATATCTTGAAAGCAGTTAACTCATAAAGAAAACTGGTTGTCCGCATCAGAAGGAGACAGTCTATACTCCTTAAGCTTTCTATGAGAATGAAAACACCGGAGTACATCGTAACAACAGGACGGTACGAGTAGAAGACAGACAAAAAGAAAACAAAAGAGAAGATACTGGATAGTCTGGCATTATGGTATGGAAGAACATCTACAGAAGAAAAGACTGACCGTACATGAGATAGAAAGTTGTGGACAGACGTAATGACTATCAGCAGGCGGTAGGCACTGTCACAAAAGAAGATTTTTCATGTGGGTTCAAAAGCCCTAGTTTTTTTTCTGTCTAGAGTGGGGAGGGGGTGGGGGTGGGAGGAGGGGGGGGGTGGGGTGGGGGGGGGGGGAGGGCGAATACCTTTAAAAAGCATATCGCAGAAGGCGACTAATTAAGGATTTTTTGGCACTGGATTTGTTGAACCGACAGGCACAACTGTCGCATTCTAGTTATAAATGAATGAATGAATGAATGAATTTTTATTCCACTAGGACATCACACAAGATATAAACACCCGATGACATAAAGTGCCACCGTTGTGGGTGAGGATCGCCGTGGAGAGGTTCTAAGAAACCGCGTTCAGACAATTGGCCATATTTATGGCCTGCCTATATTGCGGCCCCTGGCAAAAGCCAGAGTGGGGCTTCAAATAACTAAAAATTACGTCCTGAAAAGTACGTATTGTGTTTATCTATGTATAGTTGTAAACTTGAACACGATGATGCAACCGCTCTTTTAATGGCAAAAAAAAACAGAAGCAGAAAAGTGCATATAGTAATAAATAAATTAAAATTAAAATGTTAAAGCGCAGTAACTTGCCCTGTCTACCCAAAACCCGTGTTTCTCTTACGCAATGGTTTCTGGGCACAGTACAGATCGCTAACAGTGATGATTACTCCTTCATAGGGTACATTCTCTCCAATGACGATCTTATCCAAGGGAAGTAAATCCTTGTTGTCGATGATCCCAGCGTCTGATTTAGTTTTGTTGTCCCTTGCGTCACAGTTACACAGCCTAGAGTGATCATAGTAAATGTGGTAGTCGTTATTTTACATTTCACTGCATATGTGCTGCCACCACAAAGTTTGTATGGCGTACAATTGTTTTGTAATACTGAAAGCTTAGATACGGATTTAAAACATTGAAATACACACATTAAAAAAAAAAAATTGAAATAATGTTGGCCAATTGCCCGGGAAACCCGTAAGCTGCCACAAAATTTTGGGCTTCGTGCGACAAGAACTTTTATTTTTTTTTTCAATCAAACTGGAACTGGAACTGGCTTGGTTTACAACGTTTTAACTGTTGAAAAAAAAAAATCTGACTTGGTCAACCTATTTAGGCAGTGCACACAATTTCCCCAACGACATGATTGAACAACGGATCAACATCATGGCACACGGGTAGTAATCCATAAGTTCTCCGTTCTTCTTCTAACTCAGAGTTCGAAGACGCTCAGCACAGTGCACAGGCTCTATAGGATCCTAAAATACTTTTCCTCACTACCCGGAGACCAGGAGGAATTACTAGAAGTCCAAGTCCACGCGAAAAATTCCCAGTCCTCACCGGGGATTGAACCCGGAACTTCTAGCACTCCAGGCGGATACCATGCCTCGAGACCACGCAATGTTAAGACACTTTTCCTAATTGCCCCCTCTAAACTGAGTTCTTTCTCAGCTGTAGAAGCAGCTGAAAGTATATTGCTCAATGTAGCAACCATAGCTTGGCATAGCAACAGCAGCCGTAAAAAGTCTAAGCAAAATATGGAACTCTAAATTTTATAGTTGTCAACCAAGCTACGTATTTTCAATTTTAATATTATTTCAGTTGCAATAAATGCCAGTGACAGCTGAAGAACCATTAACGTTACGGAATGAAGATTAAAGGCATTATAAAACAAATACCTGTGAAAACTAATCAACATTAAATAGGAAAAATTTAAGACAGGCAAAGAAATCAGAGAAGTTAGATAGTATACTTATTGCACTCCGGAAAAGTCCATAAGCGCTCGGATCTCATCTTCAGTATATCCCTCAGTGTGTGGCGACTGATAACACCAGTCCTGTTTTGTTTACTATTCTTCTTTAGCTACGTGCATAGAGTTTATGTTTGACTACACCTCTTTTGACCTTAAGTTCTTGTAGTCTTTTAAAAGTTGCAGATTCAAAGTTGTCTCCTGAATCACTATTTCGTCCTGCCATCTTGAGAGCATTGAGAACACTGCTTGCCTTGTACCTACCATGGCCATGCCAGCAAGCCAATCGGCTCGTTCATTCCCCCTTACGCTAGCGTATTCTGGTACAAAAGTGAAACTAAGAGAAAGAAAAAGAAATAAGACACATGTCTGGACAGCGACTGGTATCCGTTTGCGCACACCTACACACACACACACACACATACAAACACACGCACACATACGCACACACACACACACACACACACACACACACATATATATATATATATATATATATATATATATATATATATATATATATATATATATATATATGAAGAGGGAGTGAGGATGCCCCAGAGAAACCACAGGACGAACATTGATGAGAGATGTCAAAGATTTTGGACTGGATTTCGTCCACGATGTCGAAACGATTGTACATAAACTAATTAAAAGAATATACCTCAAGTGCTACATGAAGCTTAAAAACCATTACAGAATGATGATAATACTGATGATGATAATGATGAGGATACTGTTGATGATTATACTGAGGATGATGATACTGATGATGATACTGATGACGTTGAAACTACTGATGATGATACTGACGATGATGATACTGATGATGATACTGATGAAACTGATGATGATACTGATAATAATGATACTGATGAATATGTAACTACTGTCTAGCCATATGCCAGGCCAGCGTGCCATATACCCGTTCCCCTCAAAACCTATGTCTTCACATATACGAGTACTTAACGTGAGAATTTTTATTTCTTTAAAAAAAAAAAAGAAAGAAAGAAAGAAAGAAAGACTAGTCTGAGGTGTCACATGTATATAACTGGGAAAACAACTGCGCATGTAAGGTGAGAGTAGGTAGGTATTTCTGATGTGTGGCAGGATTCTCCTGCCATTATATATTCCTTGGTGACATCATACGTGTTAGTTTGGCAACCTAAAACTACAAGTTATTTTTACTAGAAATTGTATTTCTATAGCAAACTTTGACATTTCTAACTGGACACTAAACATGTTCCCAACATAACCCCAGCCTAAAAGATCTACCAGGATGGCTGTCCTGGGGAAGTATAGACGGCTGGTGTAATGATGACAACACTACCCACCTAGTGCCGATTGGTCTGTAAAAAATATGGGATGCTCTTCACATATGTCCGATGCGCCTAAGGCGTGAAAAGGGATCTTTACTTTACTTGCTAACTAAACATGTTCCCAACATAACACACATTTCTAACCTGGTTCTTTGTCCCCTTGAAGAATCAGAACCTCCACAGACTCCTTCCCGACCACACAGACATGAACGTCCAGGACCATTAGCAGTCGGCTTGCCATTCTCCCAGTAAAGTACAGGTGTTGGCGATTGTTCATCCGCCAGGTTCTCCTGGCTCGACTAAAAGAATGGAAAGCAAAAGCGTGTTTATTTAGTTTAAAAATTATACCACCTTTACAATAAATGCTGGCCGTTTGAAACACTTGGCAAAGTCTCAGTCTCTCCCATGCTGCGACCATCAGACCAGTCCGACCGCCTGGAAGAAGGGTCTTTTTTGTTAAACGGCCGTCTGTGGAAATCGGACCCAAATACGTCGGAGATTTTGAAATGCGTTCTTCTTCTCAATCTTCTTCGTTTGCCTTTAAAAGGGCGGTTGACACTATCTGTTGTGGTTTACAGCTTGGCTATGATATCGACCCCTTCCACCACAATACATCCGATTTCAGCATATCCTTTCATGACCAGTTTGTTAAGGAGCAGCGGATCTGTTCTACACACGCCGTCCCCAACAAAAATGAGGCCCCGGGTTCCACACGGGGACACGAAACCCGCTCTCTAAGCAGCGGTGACATACTCTGGTGACAGGGCTAATCTGCCTAGACAGAATTCCCCCCCCCCCCCACTCTCTCTCTCTCTCTCTCTCTCTCTCTCTCTCTCTCTCTCTCTCTCTCTCTCTCTGACATTTAATGAAAGTGGCTAATGCATACAACACGATTTATCTTGATGGGTCTATCCTGTCTCGACTGCTCACACAACGTCACGACTGAGCATTACATATTTCAATCAATTGGCCGGTTTAAGCAATTTTTCCAATACTGGTAACATCACAGCTCAGTTTATCTTTTTTTATTTGATTTGACAATGGTTGCTATTTTCTTGTCATTTAAGAGATTCAAATTCCTTATTCAGTCTGTATTACTATAAAGCTGAGCAGCATTGGCAGCGCTTGTACATCATCATCATCGTGCAGCAGGTCCTTTGCAGAACTTCGCACTCATCCCGTCACGCCGGAAAGCCAACGTTCCTGGTGTTCTTGATGTTTTGTGTTTACGTCATCTTATGATAACCCTACTCTTCTTTCAGAAACTATACCCGTCATGACTGTTCTGTTCAACACGTCACTGCAAAAGAATTTGAGCGATTCTTAGTGAACAAAGAGTGGCATAAGATATTACCTCTAGTATGAGAATTTAGGTGGAGGCAATCGAACCAGCTACATACACATGCCATAATTGTAACTGACCCACAAAGCAGGCGGAGAAAGGCGGAGAGAGGTATGTTTTTTTAAATTTGTTTTAAATATTTCTGTAGGTATGCAGGTGTACTGGGAAAACAATTAACCAACAGACTGGCTGGCTGGTTCTAAACCACTGGGTAGTAAACTGATGTATAACAAGCTAGATGTTATCACGGCCCTTAGGGAGTTAGTGACCAGTAAGGAGGTAGAAACAGACCATCACGGTCTGAAGATCATGGTGCCTGTGGGGAGTGACCAAGGGGATCTGGCCGACACTTAACCCCCAGGGGAAAGGCAAGATGGACATGCGGTCAGACTGCTTCTTGTGCTATCGGAATTGGAACTCTGCGCTGGCTGTTAAAGATGTGAGTGTCCCGAGTGCTGTGATGTCGGTTCCTAACTTTACTCAACTCTCTTCAAATGACGTGTAATATGGCTAATGTATTTACGTTTCTATATAGACTGTTTGCGAACCATTCGGTATCTCGTATTCAGATCGAGAAGAATATCAACATATTTCTTGCCTTCTCTGACTATCATGATTGCAGCGATGGTAGTTTTATTTCTCATATACTTTTACTTTCTTTCAGACAATATCACAACCCGTCAAACAAGCTACAAAAAAGCATTCAACATAAGTGAGGAACTGTCAGACTAACTAGCTTTTTATCCAACTATCTAGTAAGTCAATGAGCCAGTGTCAGACACCATCTTATAGGTGTGACACAGGTACCGTTGTTGTTTGTGTTAGTAAGCCAGCACTGTCGTTAACATGTAAAGACTGATTACTGTGTTTCCCAATCTCAAAGTATGTTTATTTAAGTACTCATAATAATCCCAGGTAGTCACTGACTAGGTATAACAACAGTACGCTGGTGTATCTGTTCACAAATCATACTAGCAATATGAACATAGCCATGAGAGGCTAGCGGATGCACCTGGAACAATAATTACATATCATCCTGGCTACCACAACTAACTTTATAATCCCGGCTGCTGTACAAACCTACTACTGTCCTCTCCACAGCTTTAGATCCAGTCGATGCCAAACGAAAACAATTCCCACAGACACATTTGTTCACTGGACAGTCAAACTGCCAACCACCGTATATTGGTCTACCTGTTTGTCAAGTCCCATTGTAACCTCACCCTCACCCTAACACTCAGTTACCCTTACAGCCCTGCTGGTCTACACACAACCTGTCTGACCAGTAACTGACCTGTTTGCTGTTACGAGTCAAAGGCTAATCGTTGTTTGTATTTCTATCGCAGTGTGTGGTAAAGTTGACTCATGACAGCCAGCCAACCAACTAACCAACCAACCAACCAACCAACCAATTACCCAACCAACCAACCAACCAACCAACCAACCAACCAACTACCCAACCAACCATTCAACCAACCAACCAACCAACCAATTACCCAACCAACCAACCAACCAACCAACCAGCCAACCAACCAACCAACCAACCAACCAACCAACCAACCAACCAACCAACCAACCAACCAACCAACCAGCCAGCCAACCAACCAACCAACCAACCAATTACCCAACCAACCAACCAACCAGCCAGCCAACCAACCGACCAACCAACCAACCAACCAACCAACCAACCAACCAACCAACCAGCCAGCCAACCAACCAACCAACCAACCAATTACCCAACCAATTACCCAACCAACCAGCCAACCAACCAACCAACCAACCAACCAACCAACGAACCAACCAACCAACCAGCCAGCCAACCAACCAACCAACCAACCAATTACCCAACCAACCAACCAAACAACTAATCAAGCAGAAAGTTATTGAATTAACAATCACCATCATGTGTGTGCCGTTAGACGTCCCTTAGGGCTGGCATCGATTCCTCAATTCGGCTCCATTGCATGCAACTCTCGATTTCTGACGCAGAGTTCATTCATCCCAGCATTTTTAGCCTCTTATAATAATGTTCTTCTTAATGTTTCTCTCGGATGTCCTCTTTTTCTCAGGCCGTTTGTTTCCCATTTCAGTGGTCGTTTTGAAACTCTTTTCCCATTTTGTCTCAGAGTCTGCCTAATATATCTCTACATTCTTTTGCTTACTGCTGTCGATACATTTCTCTGATCGCATCACTCTTTTTTAATTCATCCCATTTTATGTTCATGATGTTTCCCAGATATTTATTTTTCAAATACATTTAACTTTCGTTCCACATCTTTGGTGGTTCTCGAATTTTTGCTGGCATATGTTAGAACGGAAATACGTTAGATGTGAAGACTCGTAATTTGATCCTAAACCTTTTAAAGACTGTTGTTGTTTGCCAATGAGTATCATAATTTCCTTCGTTGTATCTGATCGACAGTCAAAATTGCTACCCAAATAGGTTAAATGGTCCGTTACTTCTGTTACTTTGTCTCTAGCATGACATCTATACCATCTGTTGTTAGTATCTTAAATATATTTGTTTTCTCATAACTTATTCCTAGTCCCATTTTTGATGCTGTAAACGACAAATCGTCTATTTGTCCTTGTATGTCTTTGTTATTTTTGCCGAACAGAACAATACCAACTTCGAAATACTTTCATTCCATTTAAAAAAAAAAAGTCACTTGGACCATTTTTAGTGCGCACTGCACATTCTGATCAAATTAATCAAATGATACAGTTTCTTATATACTTACACTCATGCCTGAGCATTGGAACTTAATCCCCTGGTAGCAGTGTTTGGATCGACGCACCAGTTCTCTGAGTTGCTCCACTGTCACATTATGATATTTAATTTGTATGTTGGCTCCGGCAGCTTTAGTTAAGTGAAGTACTGGGTCAGCCACTTTGACTACAGTGACTCCTGTAATCGAAGAAATACAGTCGATTTAGAGAGAAAGCATTTCTAGAAAGTTCTAGAGGATTCTAGAAGAGAAGACTAAAATTTTTCTAGCAGATTATATACTGAATTCTAGAAACATGATTTAATTTTGGGTTCTGAGTAACGAATTACTTTCACGGCACGCAGGTATCTGTGTAAGGGTTTTAGTCTCTTCCCTTAAAAGGCACAAGGAGAATCTCAGCACGGTGCTTTAGGGCCGTGGCACCGGCCAAGATGACAGTGCGTAAATTCTAGCGTCATTCTTTATATAAATTGTAATACACACAAGCACGCGCGCGAGCACACGCGCACGCACACACACACACACACACACACACACACACACACACACACACACACAGAGTTATTTTTAATTTTCAATTTTTTGAATATTTCAAGGGCTGATGCCCATTCGACCTTCTCTGACTTCAAACTACTGGTGAAGTTTTAAGTTTTAACCTGCATACTTATCTACCTAGTTTTCCGCCACTATCTGAAGGGACTTAATGCCCAATCATCTGCCATGGGATCAAAGGTGCGGACCATACTAAACTTGTCTCACTTTCTAACAATCGACATAGGAGTTGCAGTGACGTAACGGCTAGACGCTAGCCCACCGTCGAGATCCTTTTTTCTTTTTCATGAAAGTGGCCTTAGCTCACGGGTCGATCCAGTTAAACTCTTTGAGTCCCAAACAACGAATGATGTGTGATTGGCTTTCGGTGAATCCTACCTAACACCGAATTTGTTCTTGTAAAGTACACATTTGATAAGAACGTACTAAAGAAATCTGGCTTCCTTAGTATTTAACTTATTTGTTAGTAATATACTCCTGGACTTTCCCAGTGGTGACGTCTATGTATGTGCACCTCATGTAAAACGTGTTGGTACTCAAAGAGTTAAAATACACGGGATCCAATCCAGCAGCTTTAGCTTATCTCATCAACTTTAGTCTTAAAGGACTTGCTCGTTTCCTCACTTAATACATTTCTCACTAATCCTTTCCTGCACGTTTCTGTAGCAAATAATGGTTTACAGTAATAGAGACTGGAACAACGCCGACCCTCCTTCTTTCTCATCCTAGCTTCGGATCGGTAATGATGGGGATGTTAACTGCAATGATTTAAAAAAAAAAAGAGTTAAAGTGCTGTATAGAATTTATGTTATTATATGCTTGTGAAACACGGACAATAAGCAGAGACGCTGATAAACACATACTTGCAGCGGAGATGTGGTTTTTGAGAAGAATCCAAAGAATATTGAGAAAGCCCCCGTGTGGGTTCCGTGCCCCATTGTGGGGAAAACAAAAATAGACCCACTGCCTCCCCAAAAGCATGTCGTAAGAGTCGACTAATTGGGGAGCTTCCTTTGAAGTCGGAGTGCATCTGCCGGAGAAGCAAGGAACCAACAGTCTGTATTCAAGAGAATGAGATCTGTAAAACTGATGAACACTCAGGTTCTGGAGCAGGACTGCAGTTCAGTAGTGGACGGGCAACCAGAACCTTCCGCCAGAGTGTACAGCTGGTGAACGCGAAGAAGAAGAAGAATAATGAGAAAAATCCAAAGAATTTTGAGAAAAATCCAAAGAATATTGAGAAGAATCCAAAGAATATTGAGAAGAATTCAAAGAAAATTGAGAAAAATACAGAGAATATTGAGAAGAATCCAAAGAAAATTGAGAACAATACAGAGAATATTGAGAAGAATACAGAGAATATTGAGAAGAATACAAAGAATATTGAGAACAATACAGAGAATATTGAGAACAATACAGAGAATATTGAGAACAATACAGAGAATATTGAGAAGAATCCAAAGAAAATTGAGAACAATACAGAGAATATTGAGAAGAATACAGAGAATATTGAGAAGAATCCAAAGAAAATTGAGAACAATACAGAGAATATTGAGAAGAATCCAAAGAAAATTGAGAACAATACAGAGAATATTGAGAAGAATCCAAAGAAAATTGAGAACAATACAGAGAATATTGAGAAGAATTCAAAGAAAATTGAGAAAAATACAGAGAATATTGAGAACAATACAGAGAATATTGAGAAGAATCCAAAGAAAATTGAGAACAATACAGAGAATATTGAGAAGAATCCAAAGAAAATTGAGAACAATACAGAGAATATTGAGAAGAATACAGAGAATATTGAGAACAATACAGAGAATATTGAGAAGAATACAGAGAAAATTGAGAAGAATACAGAGAAAATTGAGAAGAATACAGAGAAAATTGAGAAGAATACAGAGAAAATTGAGAAGAATACAGAGAAAATTGAGAAGAATACAGAGAATATTGAGAAGAATACAGAGAAAATTGAGAAGAATCCAAAGAATATTGAGAAGAATACAAAGAGTATTGTCAAAACTCATATTGTATTTATTTGTCCCTGTAGTATGCACCTGACGAGAGACAGCGAAATATTTCCGCAAATAAACTGTGCAATCTTGTATTTGTGTCTTCTTTGCTCGGGTAACAATTTGTTTATCATGTTAATAAAAAGAAAACCTTACTGAGTCTCTTGAGATGTAGATATACGGAGAAATGTGTCGTATTTCATGGAACCATACACTGTGAAATACAAAGGCTCTAAGGAGTACAGACAATAGGCGGGTCTTGCTAGTCATACTCGCCATCGCCATGGGCTGTGAGTCTCATGCCGCCTCATAGTGCAATATAACACTATCGTCTGGAAAGACGGAAAGGTGCCAATGAAGGAGTACAGAAACGAAAGGAGGCTTGCTGATGGAAATACAATAGTAAAACAACACAACACCCTTTACAAAAATACTGAAAAGTTAAACACAAGCGAACAAGAAACATACACTTAAAAAGAAACGTTTATACATACTTATCCCTCACAAATTCTGCTGTAGAGGTCGGGGGTGTCTGAGTCCCTAAAAGCCTTTTGTGTTCGGGGGGGGGGGGGCGCTCTATGTTCCTGAGCTCCCATGTTCGGGCGGCACCGAGTGAGAACAACAACGACAGAGCAGTAAGGACTTACCTGTGTTGGGTATCCAGTTAAAGTCACACCAAGCCAGAAAGAAGTCCACGGCTTTAGGGTTTGGGCTCAAAGGAAATTCCCCGCTGTAGCTGGAGGTAAACCCGAACCACTGTCCTAATTTATTCGCCTCTGAACAGTCGCCTGGAAAATCTGCCGATACACATGGGAGAGTTAATGTTGAACCATATATATTGTCTACCGAAACACATGGGAGAGTTAATGTTGAACCATATATATTGTCTGCCGATACACATGGGAGAGTTAATGTTGAACCAAATACGTTGTCTGTCGATACACATGGGAGAGTTAATGTTGAACCATATACATTGTCTGTTGATATACATGAGAGTTCATGTTGAACCATATGCATTGTCTATCGATACACATGGGAGAGTTAATGTTGAACCATATATATATTGTCTGGCGATACACATGGGAGAGTTAATGTTGAACCATATACATTGTCTGCCCATACACATGGGAGAGTTAATGTTGAACCATATACATTGTCTGCCGATACACATAGGAGAGTTAATGTTGAACCATATACATTGTCTGTCGATACACATGGGAGAGTTAATGTTGAACCATATACATTGTCTGTCGATACACATAGAAGAGTTAATGTTGAACCATATACATTGTCTGTCGATACACATGGGAGAGTTAATGTTGAACCATATATATATTGTCTGCTGATACACATGGTTGGCTGCAATGATATCTTAACACGGTTTCTCGTCTTGGCTGTACACTCTCCCAGACTGTTGTTGTGTGATTTCGTGATGCTGTTCTCCCCTTTTAAAGAATAATAATAGTTGGGTTAAGAATTGACATCACAGCACTCGGGGCATTCCCATGCATGCTCTGTCCTCATCTTCAGTAGC